TGTAACGGTGAGTTTGATGGCCTATAACTCAAGAACGGGTTAAGCAACCAACAAAAAGTAAACAACACTAAGCTTGCGATGAATCAAAAATTAATATTACTATTTAAAAATTCCAAAGAAAAAATTTCATTGTTGAGCAAAAACCTTATTCTTTTTTCATTTGCCTCTAATGACTTTTGGGACCAAAATTTTTCACATTTTTATTTTTTCAAAATGAACTTCATGTCATTGCAAAGCGACATGCAAAAAATTAGAAAGGTGTTCTTTCTATAAGTTCCTCATTTTCCCGCAAACAAAATGGGTTTCGGAGGGGTTGATACGACCCCAGCACGCCGTTTTGCTTCTAATAGAGCTAGAGCCTCGCGGAAAAAACGAGCGTGTGTGCCGTTACAAGTCGCAGCGATTGGTACCCGATTTTAAGGTCTCAGGTTAACCGGTAGCGTCTGAGGTCAGGTCACGTGACTGAAGTTACGGGTTCGGTTTTTAGTAAATAACTTCGCAAAAATGGCCGCAGAGCCGCGATTTTGGCATCATTGTGTTCGCCTAGCTCAGGTGCATCGAATGGTATACTTTTTGCTAGGGTGAGGTCAACTTAAGTAGTTGACCTCGGGTCAAGGTCAGGTCAGAGCCCCTCGGGTCATGAAGCTGGGCAAAGGGTATCATATGGCATATCATTCGATTCGGAAGGTCTTCCCGAGTCCATTGGTGGCTTTCCCGACTCTCTAGCTCCATTTGATCGGGAGTTATTGACGAAAAACTCTACGACCCTAGTGACGTCATAAATGACGTCACGCAAGGTTAAAAATGCAAAAGTAAAGCATTGGACTTGCAAGGAGTGCATGAAATCACGACACCATGTACGTGGGATAGTTTTAGATCATTCTCGGCGCCAAAATAACAGTTTTTATATTTCCCCATTGATTTATGACAGTGATGTCACGTGACCGACCTGACCTCATGTAACCTTGAAAAATTCCCAGATATACAAGTTGTGAGACCTCTGGAGGACACCATGTATGCGTCCTGTAACTTTCGTCTCGGACAGCTATGGTCATTGGCGTCCAAAACAATGTCAGAACAAAACAGCCTTTTTCACCCTCGCGCTTATAGGAAAGAGGGTTGGATGAACCCTCTTTTCACTTTTTTTAGATGACTCAGACTTAAATTGAAATTTCAGTAACCTGTGATGTCACTAGGCAGCTTTTCCACGCCATTTCTAAGCTCCCCTCCCGAAATCACTATTCGAAACCGTTATCGTGACGTAAAATAAATACATTTATAAAAAGAACACCTTCCTAATTTTTTGCATACTTCTTAACAATGAGCCAAATATTTTTTAAAGAAATAAAAATTCAAAAAAATTTGGTCCCAAAGTCCAAAAAATACAAATGAAAGAAAACTCTATATGTCATATATCAAAAATAGCGTATTTTTCGAAATTTCAAAAATACATATTAATCTCTGTTTCATTGCAAGTTCAATGTTATATAACATTTGGCATTTGAATAATCCGTCTTAGAGTTACAGCCCGCCAAACTTAGCGCTGCAAAGCAAGATCCAAAAAATGTTATACACCATAACTAAAAAAATACTTATCTGATAAGCCTGAAATTGTTTCAGGTGGATTCAGAGCCCCTGATTACCCCCGAGACCAATTTTCGTCAAATTCCGAGAGATGAGGGTGTCAAATTGGAAAAAAGTGGTACGATCTATCGTGGAATGCCCCAGTTATTGACGAAAAACTCTTATGACCCTAGTGACGTACGAATGACGTCACGCAAGGTCAACAATGCAAAAGTGAGGCAAAAATGACTTCAATTGAACTTTCAGTAACCAGTGATGTCACTAGGCAGCTTTACCACACCATGTGTAGGCTCTCTTCCGAAATCACAATTCGAGACCATTACGGTAACGCAAAATAAGTACATTTATAGAAAGAACACCTTCCTAATTTTTTGCATACTTCTTAAAAGTGATCCAAAAATGTTTTTAAGTAAATAAAAATTCAAAAAAATTTGGTCCCAAAGGCATAAAAATGCAAATGAAAGGAAACTCTAGGTGTTTTATATCAAAAATAGTGTATATTTCAAAATTTTAAAAATGCATATAATTCTTTGTTTCAATGCAAGTTCAATGCCGTATAGCATTTGGCATTTGAATTATCCGTCTTAGAGTTACAGCCAGGCATCGGTAAAATCCTTTTTGACAGGATTGCATTCCCAATCCACATTCCTAGTGCCGAAGTGGATTGCATTCCAACCCGCAATCCCCTTTTTTCACTTGGATTGTGATCAAATCGGCAATCCTTTTTTGCAATCCTGTTGTATCATTATGTGCACTAGTGGATCTGGGGGAGGGAGGGGGCATAGGGCCGTGCCTCCATCCCCAAATCACCCATTTCTAGCACCTAGTCTTGAGAGTAATTCCTATCTAAGGCACAGGTATTTTATGGGAAATATTTTTTGCCTCAAACACCCCGGCACATTTAAACCTCTACCCAACCAGTGTTTTATATTTTTAAAACTCGCCCTCAAATACGTAATTTTGCCCTTCCTATGTAGTTCATCAGCGTATATTATTTTGAGCCTTTAAATTAAAAGCGTTTAAATTATTTCCAGTTTCGATGTAAAGCCCTTGATAGCAAATTACATTAAGCCGATGAAGCCGATTTCATAATTTTCAATCGCAACAAACCATTTCAAAGCACTAATCAAACACAATCCGGATTGGATTGCAAAAATTGGAAGAATAATGCAATCCAATCCGCAATCAAATCCTGTTTTTTGGAATGGATTTCAAATCCAGGTGCAATCCACCAAAAAGGAATGCAATCAGGATTTTGCAATCCTGCAATCACAATCCTACTGAAGCCTGGTTACAGCCCGCCAAACTTGGGGCTGCAACGCAAGATCCAAAACATGTTATACACTATAACTCAAAAACCACTCATCTGATAAGCCTGAAATTGTTACAGGAGGATTCAGAGCCCCTGATTACCCCTTAGACCAATTATCGTTAAAATCCGAGAGATGAGGGTGTCAAATTGGAAAAAAGTGGTACGATCTATCGTGGAATGCCCCTGTTATTCCCTGATAGGAGCAGAGGACGGCTACCACATGAAGATTACCTACTTAGGGATAGGCATGAAATCAATTTTGCCAGATGAACAATGCAACAGAAAAAAAAACATTTAATCCCAAATGCGATCAATTCAGCACCGGGCTTTGCCCGACGCTCAGACGCGCCGTTACACAACAGCTCACTGTACAGCCAGTGCCCAGTGGCCAGTATGACGGGTAGGTAGTTGGCATTCAGCAACACTGCACGGAGTGCACCGAGTGCAAGTCACGCTGGTTCGGGCAGACCATGTGATGGTGGCGTCATCACACCTCATCTCTGGGGGCGGTGCCGCCGGTGAGGCCATACTGGGAAACGGCCCCTTGGTGTTGGTTTCTGCCTTTGAATCAGTCTATTGGAGAGCAGCTGAAGGATGATGCTTTTGAGCGGAGAGTAGTTATCTTCAACGCATCACAAGATGATATCCTCCAATCCAATAAGATCGCCTTACTTTCCAACTATGCTGATGAGCATTTTCAGCCTCTTGACCCTGCCCAGAAATGGAAGATTATTAGTTTAGCCGTCACCCTCTTTCCCCGGTCCCCTCTCTCCCTGGTCCCTGCGGCGGACCGGGCTGTGGTCCAAGCCGGCGAAGCTATGGCTCGGCGCCGGCGCAGACTGCGCCTCCGCTCCCGTCCCGTCACCAGCTCTGAGGCGCTATTTTGGGGTTCGGCTCCGGGTCCATCCGGCCGGGTGGGAAACGGACACCCCCCCCCCCCGTCCTGTCACCCGTCCCCTAACGTTCACACCGGGCGCTAGTCCGAGCGGAGCAGGGGTCACCTGAAGATGTCGGTGGAAAGGTCACCTACACAACGTTTGTTTGGGATGGCAGGCGTCATTTGCAGAGGTTAACTCCAGAGGTCACCGGCTGAGGTCACTCGTGACGATATGAATGTAAAGCACACGCAAATGTGCGCCCATGTGCAAAACTGTCAAAGGGATCAGCGGAAGTTTGTTCCCTGTTGTTCTCTTTGCTTCTTCTTTCTTTCAAGGTAGAATATAGGCGCCAAGTACCTACCTGGAACATCATTCATAACTCCTCACTGCTTTTCTCAAAATTGTATTGTATTTATTCTCTTCATAATTTGAGTCTGACACGCCACATTGTGGCTCCTTTGTGCGAGTCATGGTCCCTGCTGGGCGACAGATTCCTAATGGAGCATTTTTTTTGCCTGTTCACTCGCAGTTCAGAATGTTCTGTTATTATTGTGAGATGTGCTTGGCGAGCCTTATTCAAGCTGGAGATGCTGACTGGCTCTGGCTCAGCTATTAGCGGCGTCAACATTAGTTCTGCAACTCTGCATGTGTTGCAGCCAGCTACAGCATCGGGGAATGAGGAGGAGCATGGGCCCTCCGGTCAGCCTGCAAAACGCAAGCGTTGCTCAACAGCCAAACAGTGACGCTGCTCTTTGAGTGCAGATGCACCCATGCACCGTATCGGAACTTTTCCGTTGAATGGTTATCTCAGTCCGGAGGTTTCGGGGCTCTGCTCGAAGGTGGCTGGTGCGCCGGTTGACGTGGCCTGCTGCCAGTGGGACCGGGCGGCGGGCAGGGCTGCTCGGTCGCGGCCCCCCGTCCCAGGTGGCGCCGGGCCCACCGGCTCCCGTGCCGGCCGTCAACTGCGCAGGGCCGCAGTGCAGCGGCGTGCGGCCAGTCCCCGCCCCTCATCTGCTGCCGGCTGATGCAACGGTGCCAGGCGGCCGTTTACCAGCCAGCGGCGCGTCAGCGGCCGGGCGCCGGCCATTGGCGGCGGCCAGGGGCGGGGCTGCGCGCGCCGGCCGCCGCCTGACCTTGCAGTGCCTTTGAGCGCCAGTGGGCCGACCTGCGGCCGTCGGCTGGCACGCGCCGGCCCGCGGCCCCGGCTGGTGACTGGTGACGGTAGTGGTGCCACGGTGGTGTGTGACCGGCCCACGGTGCGCGCGACTCGCGCTCCGTTTGGAGAGCCGCCTGTTTTTGCCACTGGAGGCCGGCCTCGCGCGCGGGGTGGCTCCGAGTATCCGTCCCTGACCCGTTCGACCCCGCAGCACAGAAAGAACCGCTGAGATCCAACTAGCTCAGAGACTTGTAACGAGATGAAATAAATATTAGGATGCGGAAGTGCCCCAGATAACGTGTAGAGCTGACAAGTTAGGAATTCATTCCTAAATGTGCATCTCTTGGCTTTATGCGAAGCAATTATGTCCGCATTTGCCGCTTTGGAACCATCACCTTCAACCTCAGGGAGGTGATTCCCTGGAAAAGCTTAGGACTGCTAAAACCGTGACACCGACCTTTCCTAGCTACCGAACACATTGTTGTCTGCTCTTTGCGGCTCAGCTCACTCCATGACTATCAGTCATAAGGCGACCTCTTTGCAACGTTATTTATTTGTTCGGTACAGAGTCTGGAGTCGGAAATGGATTATCGAGTCGAAAAGAGATTATTTCAAACTATTGACCCTGAGCTCACACCTGTGTCGACTTGCTAGTACTTTCCATACGAACCTGGTAGGTACAGGTGAGAGTCCTGAACACTCATCGTGTAGCAATCTAAATTTGCACCGGTAAAGCTAGTAAGCTTCTCATTCGCCGAGTCGCTACAGACCAGCGGAGGCCCGAAACCGCCCTGCCGGGCTAATACCGCCTTGAAGGAGGCGTATCAGTCCACCAACGCCTGAAAGACGGTGGCGTTCAGTGTACTTACAGTAGTGCACCCCCTTTAGCCGTCCCGTGGGAACTGGCGGCTTGGTAAATACCGGCGCCGCCACACTGCCTCAGGGCCGTGCGGTCGATATTGCCGACCTTGTTTGTTGCGGGTAATTTGTTCTGTCTGGAAATGGCGGTGTGAACTCGCCACATAGCGAGGACTGGTAATTTCTGTGTTTACCAGGAAATGGCATTGACGGAGCTGAGCCCACTAATTAAGGCTTTTCAGTGAGTCGATCAGGGTCGAGTTCAATTTGATGGTGCGCTGAAGGTGAGCTGTTTGCTTGGAGGAGCCGTTCTGGCAATCAGCGAGATTTACCTGCCTTTCTGGAAACATTGCGAAAATGTTGATGTTGCCAACCGTTGCCAACCATGCTAATATCAAAATTCAATAAATCAAGGTGTTGATTTCAAGGTAATACAGATAATTTAGCATTGATCAATGTGTTAAAACTAAATTTCAACTTTATAAATCACTTTTTCAGGCCATCGTCAAAATATTTTCAAATTAACGCTCATTTTTAGCAAATGCTTTAGTAATTACGCTCTAAATTTCGGAACGTTACGTAACTTCTTCGGGCGCTCGTCTGCTCGTATTGGCCTGGAGTGCACCATCCGATCGATCCAGCCCTACTATCCCTCTGTGTCGCAGCGCTCTTCATCTCACAACGGCGGAGCGTTGAATCGCGGATGACCGCGCTGTTCTGGGTCCGGGCCTGAGATGTCCGTTTGCGCTGGCGGCGGACGGGTCGGTTGAGACGGGATCCCATGGTAACCGGAGTTCAGTCTGAGCTCAGCGAGCTTCCACGATTGATCTCACTCTGAAGACGGTCCTCGACTGCCCCACTCTGCCAGACTGGGCGCCGTTTTACGGGCGCGTCGGCTCGTTGGTAGAAGAACGGTGTGCGCTGAACTCTGGCCGTCTGTTGGACAAGAAGCAGCTCTCCGAGGAGCGGGCCTGCTCGAAGGAGGAGAGGAGGTCGCGGTGGTGTATATGACGGAAGTGGTGTCTCAGTGAGCAGCGCACCGCAGTGGGTCGGGAAGGACACCCCGAAGGCCGTGAGTCGTGGCCGGGCGCCGTACCGACGCTGACGTCACGGCTCCGGCGAGCCGGCCGGCCGGCGCCGGCGGTCCGCCAGTCGGCTGGCGGTCGCGCGCGCGGAGGGTACAGGTCAGACGCCGCTGTTCCCACTCCGACACACGCGTGACCGGCCGACTGCCAGGAGTGAGACGGACTTGGAGCGGGCGCGGCGCGGTTCCAGTCGGGGTGGGGGTGAACCTTTCCGTCAGCGATGCCGCCGGTGATCAGTGAGGGCAAGCCGGCGATGGCCCGCGGTCGGAGCCCGCAACAGGTGATGCAGAACCACCCGTTCCTGCGACTGATGAATCTACCCGACATCCTGCCTGGTAAGAGGGCTACTGCCACGCTGAAAAAAACCCATTCCCTCTGACGGCGCGCTGTGTCTTTTGTTGTGTTGTGGTCGTGTGAGCTGTTTTGTGGGGCGGGACACAGGCTGTCCTTGGTGCCCTGTTTACATCGGTGGCCGGCGAGGGTGCGCACCTGCCTGTGGTAACAACTGTATGTGAGAGTGGTTTGTGTGGGTGCCGTGGACCTACCAAGGCCGGTCAGTGCTCTGCCCTCCTGTGCCCCATGGGTGGAGAGACTGGCTAGGTCTGTCTGGCTCCCTCCTACCGACTGTAAACACGCTGAGTTGGCGGAGGGAGGGTGCACGGCGCAGTCAGCTGGCGGGGAGGGTGCGCTGTGTACTCAGGTGTGGGGAGCGGTGCGCAGTGCCGGTGGCCGGTGACGGTATCGGTGAAAGGCACACCTGTGCACCGTTCTGTGCCGTATCATCAATCCTGAGACTATCCCACTTTATGACTTGCATTGATATGATGCGGAGGTCTTGCTAGCTGCCCGCATTTGGTGATGGAAACTGATTTGTTGATCTCAGATCACTTAAAAGTGATATATGAGCAGTGAGCACGGATTGGGCCGCGTTCAAATGCAACCGATGAATAGTGAGCACAGTTGTAGTAGATGCGCATCAAACCTCCACGTAAGATTATTGAGTCACCTGAACCTCCATTTCATAGTCCGCCAGTCAGGAGCGCCACACCAGACTCACCATTCCTCACCGCACTTGTCACGGGATCCTGTGCTGTGTGGGCCCGCCCATCCTGTCCCTTCGACTGTCTCCGTTACTGTCAGCACAGACTGGCGGCCAGCCAGCCGGGCCACGGTCCTTACCAGTGACAGTGTCACACTGAGACACCTCGAACTGACTGTGGTGTGACTGCACCTTCTCGGCAGTCGGCCGAATGGGCCAGAGTGCCCTCAGATGTGTGCTGTACTGAGCTGCATTTATGCCTGCGCCATGCTTGGATCAGTGTGCTGGTGTGATGTTACGACCTCCTGTGTTCTGTTTGACTCTGAGAGCAACGCTCGTCCTACTGCCTGTGTCCTGATAGTCGCTCTGAGAATAACTGCGTAATTGTCCCTGTTTTAAACACATCCCGCCCGCTCTGAAAACACCTGCGTGCACGGCGAGGACTCTTCTGACATTTCCCATCTTGAGTACCTGAACGGTGTCTGGTGCAGCTGGCGTAACTGCAGCACCAAACAATCAAGTGTGCGCTCGCTGTGCTTAAGGCACGGCCATTGATCGGTGAGGTTCACTGACCGACTGGTACTCTGCCTTGTCCAGACAATGGGTGTCATGATGACACATAGCTTCAGAAAGGGGATGCAATGGCAGATATTTGGGCTGTCGTGGTATGCCTTATTCCTTCGCATTCCGTGCATTGTTTTTGGTGCGAGGCAGCCAGCAGCAGACACCGCCCGTTCAATCCCTGACCTCAGTGGGTCGATCCCAGCTCCAGCGGTAGACGGCGCCGTCACTGGCAAATGGTATTGTCTGTGTGCTAGTCGCTGGATGATGATGGGCCAACCCAGTTCCACGAACTGAGTCGATGTCTACCTCAATAGTGGTCGATAGTCGATGCTGTCGGTCGTTCCACCCAAGCTTTGTTCCACCTTCACGGTCGGTGTTCAATGTTCATGTAGGTCAGATGCCTTCATGGAGCGTTTATCTTTTGTCCCTTAGAACGGAAAACGCAAAACCTGTCCTCAGCACCGCACTCAATGGGATTCTGATTCGTCCTATGTCAGGTGTGGAGGTTTCTGTGTGAGATGCAGGTAGTGTACCATCCACTGTGTGTTGTGCGAGCGCGTAAATGCCTCTCTTCGCGCAGAAAGTTTTACGCCAAGTTGAACCTTTCGCTCTTTCCATGTGTTATGAATACGTCTAATATATGTGGGTCGTCTGTCTATTTTTGGTTGCTCAGTGGTCGAAGGGTTTCTGTTGTTGGCTGTGTGACTGCCGTGAGTCCTCTGTTGTGATCTGGGGGCGGTAGGCGGGCCCTGATCGGCGGCCGCCCGTCCAAGGCCGCTCGCCGGGGGTGTGTCTCCTACGGTCCGCCCACTGGCCGTGACTGTGGTCCGAAGGCCGTCCTCCCCCTCCGGCGGTCCGGCCTCCAGGAGCAGACACTTCCTCCCGGCACGCGGAAACGGAAGGCCCGTGGGAGCCCCTCCCTATCCTCCGGGGTGAGGTCACCGAACGAACTGTGATAACTCGCAGCCGAACCGGCTACGAGCGGTGGCAGTGGGTACACTAACGGCTTACTGAAGCCATAAAGATATATGCTAGCGGCGTGGGCGACGCTCAGATTGGTGATGAAGTGCGGGGTTACCTGTGTATCGTAATTCCATAAGCCGGGCTTTGCTCATGCTGCTAAACTTTGTCCTTCTCAAATCTCAAATCATGATAATCTCCTTTCCATGGGAAATCCCTAATTTGCCAGCCTTGCGGTGGTTGATTCCACATTGGCATTGATGTCAGTGTCTTGCACCTTATGTTCAGCAGAATATGGCCAGCGTCAGCATGACGCTGACTGTGGTCATTTCACTCGCTCATTACACAACAGTGGCGTGTTAGAGTCGAATATTTCCTTATTGTGTAAGTTGTAACTGATGTAATGAAAAATCGTGACCAACTGTGAATCTTATCCTTGTCGTTTCGTCGTATGGGCAGTCATATTCATAGCATGCCGTGTTATCTGCTGAGCGTGCACTGTATATGGTTAAGTGTCGTGTCTCTTGTCCCCACACATTCATGTGTTGCTGATAAGACAGCTGCGCAGTCTGTGACCCAGATGTAAACCCGTCTGATGCAGGATGCTCATGTAGGCTGCACGTGAGGCAGATTGTGAACACGTGTCTGAAACGGGCGTTTTTAGAGCCCCCGAGCTGTCTGCTTTCTTGGTGCCGTTGTATGACGTGATTTTGTTCTGACTTCCGATTCCATTGGAAATTGATGGAATGGATTGACACCCGGTTCGCAGTGTTGTTGCCTGGCTTCATGTACTCCTGACCTGTCATTCTAGGACTGGTGATTCGTGGACTGTTTGTCGTGTTTTTTTATCGATCTGTGTACCTATCATGTGCGGGCATTGTGCAGCTACTGGTATTGTATGAAAGACGATATGTCTGGTCAACGAAGGATGGTAACACATATTTCTCTTTTCTGTCCCCAGGCGAGCGGACTAAGAGCATCCACGTGCCGCACGTGGTAGTGACGGTGGGTCTGCCGGCACGTGGCAAAACGTACATGGCGCGCAAGCTGGCCCGCTATCTCAACTGGACCGGCATCAAGACCAAAGGTAGGTGGACGTCGTGTCTCCTGCAGCACTTGCAGAGCTCTGTGGTATAAGCGTTGCTCAATGCTCAGCTCGGTGCGATGCGATGCAAGGCATTCAAACAGACAGGGGAGTCCCGGCACTCCGCGTATAGCTTGTCTCGATGAACTAAGACGGATAATGTTGTGACGTAGAGTGGACATATGCTCGGAGAAAGGCCAGGGGAATTCCGTGTGGGTTTGACTAGGGCGGCTCAGTATGTGCTAGTTAGGAGGCATTTTCAGGTTGTGAAATCGCTAATTTCCGGCGCGTAAATGGAATTTCCAACACTGGTGCGTTCACAGTAGAAATCAACTCCGCCAAGACGAGCCGAGGCGTAACTTTTCTACCACTTGCGAGTTCTGTGTATTTAGACTGAACAAGTTGTGCACTCAGTGAACCTCTGGCCGTTGGTTGTTTGGTACGGGTTCCCAGTTATCGGTCTAGGTACCACGCGGTAACCGATGCCTCTCCAAACTTGTGTATCGGTTGCCGCTGTCTGCTGGAATGTTGGAGCTCTCGAGACGGTTCGGTTTGTCCCTGTGGGGCAGACGGTCCGACTGACCGGTCCATGGCCTCGATACCCTCCGAATCGGCGCGGCTTCGTGCTGGGCTTCTATCTCGAGAGTGCGGGACGTGCAACACAGTCCGCAGGGGGCGGGGAGGGTCGCCGTTTCAAATAGTCAGTCGAACTGCTAACCTACCCAATATGAGCGGTTCCTGACGTAATCTCGTCGAATTTTGGCACTCTTCACGAGTATTGTCTGGTTCGTCAGCTTGCAATCGTTGGAAAATGGCGAATGTATGGAGTTACGTAAGGAGAACGCATGCATCGAGCAGCTGGGGGCGAGCGTCGTCGGTTGGCTGACAAAAACTTGCTGGGTCACAGGGCCAAGTCCGTCAACGGTAGCTAAGCTGGCTCCGCGCCGGACACCGAGCCGGTTCAAACAGGAACTAACCGGATAGGCACCGATTTCGGGGTAAGGTCCATGCTAACACTGTCTGCTTCAGTGCCCCAGGGGCTAGAGTTTTACTTTTGATTTTTCTGCGCCAGGGAGCGATGTTTGATCAATGATCAGGCCGGTTTTTCACTGTAGGTTGGGTCCGATGAGGCCTAGAATTCAGTGCCCCGGAGACAGGACTTTTCAGTAAAATCAGCCAAAGTTTAACTGTGCTTTGGGCTAGGATGTTTCTGTTGTGAGTGCCGGGCATAAAGGCCCGGGGCTCACCTATGCCAGGGAGTTTTAATTTTGTTCCTAGTGGAGTCTCACTGCGTTGGAAGATAGGGATCTCACCAGATTTTACTGAACCGTAAAGCGGAGCTGTATGGACCTAGGAGCAATCGAACTTTCCGGTTTGGCTGTACACTGCCGTACGATGGCCATCATCTCTTCGGAACCAATGACGTAATAATCACCCAGTGCGCGTCATGACGTCAGTGCTTGTTATGAGAAGTGGCTGCGGTGCCGGAGGTCTTGGAAGCACGGGAGCGGACTGGAAAACCCGTCCTCGGCTAGCAGCCTCCCCTCCCCGGTTAAAGCCTCTGAAAACTTGGCAGAATATGTGTTTGCGAACCAGTATTGTGGCGTCATAGATAGGTAATATAGTATGTAATATGTATGCCGTGCTCAACGGAAAACAAACCCTATTTGTAAACATTGTTCTCCGGAACTGCTACAAATACATTGGCGTTTGAGAATCTAAATGTGTTGTCTTCCTTTAGGGCTTTTGGTATTTATGCATGCAATGCTAATTTTGCTTGTCACATGCGTCGTGTCACGTGTGCATGTTCTGATGAGGCCGTTCACTCCACGAACAATGGGATGCGCTGGATGTATCGACCTCCTCAGGCCTCTGACACTGATCGCGTCTCGTCGAACCGCCTGACGTATTGATCGCGGACGTCACAGCCTGGGCGGCGCCGTGGGGGTCATCAATGGCGAGACACGTATCTGTCGTGTCTGACCTGATCTGATCTGACACACTGCGTGTTCCGCCTCATACTGATCTGACCTGACGCGACTTGGTGTGGCCCACCGTGGTTTGACCTTCCCTGTTTGGTTTTGTTATTACTTATTTTTCACGCGTAATCTCAAATTGCCTGACTTTTTGATCCGACCCTATCTACTCTCGACTTGATCCTATATATCATGTCTGGCCTAACCTGATCGACTACACTACCCTATCTTGAGTTCACGTGATCTTATCTGACCCGATCTGACCCGACCTTGTTTCACTCGGCAGTGTTCAACGTGGGCGAGTACCGTCGTCAGGCGACCACGCGCTACAAGAACCACGACTTTTTCCGTCCAGACAATGAGGAGGCGATGGCGATCCGGATCAAGTGCGCGCTGGACGCGCTGGAGGACGTCCGACACTGGCTCGATGACGGCGGCATGGTGGCGGTGAGTCGCGGCAAATCGTGGTCCTTAGAGTGGGTGGGATATTGGTTTAGGTTTGAAAAATTCTCTTTGTAATGTTTTTACTTTGTTTTTCTTTTTGATTATCTCAAGGGCATTGGTGGGTATGATTTTAACACGCGCACGACGGGCGTGTTAACGACGGGCGCGCACGACGGGGGGGGGCGGATATCCGCCCCCCTGAGGTTTTTTCGCGAATAGCGGGAAGCGCGCGCCGCGAAATTTGGTACGACTATTCCCTCATCAATTTTACACATGGTGTGCAAGTTTGAACCTCCTACCTTTAAAGGTCAGGTCACCAGGCCACTTTGAATGACCCAACCTCAAGTCACTTTTTTGCAACTTTGTCACCGTGCCAGAGCTACAGTAGATGTCGGAGGCCTTTGAAAGTCGCAGGATGTTATTAGGTCATTAGTAGCTACAATTTGTATATCTCGGAATTTTGCTATCGGTGACCTAAGGTCAGGTCAATTTCGGGACCTCCCCATTATAAGTCAATGGGGAAAAAATCAACTCCCTGTTTTTACCACTAAAACGGGTCAGAATGGCCCCATATACCATACATGACTTCATATACGATCAACCTTCACTACCTTGAGGTCTGTTTTGCTGTTGGGCAGCTGTAAGGTCATATGACGTCATCAAAGGTCACCAGCGGTTTTTTGCCAATAACTCCGTACAGGAGCAAGACACAGCCGCGCGGATGGTCTCATTGTGTTCAGCTCGTCAAGACGCATCGAATGATATACATGATGACCTCGAGGTCACGTGACCTGAGGTCAACCTTTGACCTTGACCTTTCGAGGTCAACATATATATCATTCGATGCGGATTGACGAGAGGATCACGATGATGCCCTTAGTTAGTTCCTATCTTCACTAATTCGAAAGTTATTCGAGAAAAACTCCATATCTAGCGCCGCCATTTTGACTTTTTCGACCCCTGTGACGTCATCTTTGACCTGACCTGAAAATAACCTTTGTAAAAATTGTAGACCTTGACCGTGCGTATTCGATGCCGTTTACCGCTTGTCGCTATCTTGCTCCGTTCTCGAGATCTCAGGGGGGGCGGTCATCCGCCCCCCCCCCCCTCCCCCCGTCGGTACGAAGTTGGCGCAGACCCCCGTCGGTGCGCGGGTTAACCCGCGCCCCGTAGGGCTACCGGCGGACCCTACCACCCGTAGGGGGGGGGGGCCGTATCGGCCCCCCCCTTAAGATCTCGGAAAGTTACCGGCCGATTTTCAAAATTCAAACGGCGTTCGATAGCCCCACCCGGGAACTACCTTGTGACCAAATTTCATTGACCTAGGTCAAACCGATGACGTCACAGGTCAGGTCAAAGGTCAGATTTTCACCGTTCACAGGCAATTCAAGAAATGTGCTGTGAAAGCGAGTAAATTGGTAATTTATTGAAAACCATCGATGGTACATTGTTCGTCAAACACATACTTTGCTATCTGAGGTCACTGATACCAGGTCAGGTCACAGCGAGGTCAGGTCACCGGGGGTCACAATATGAATGTGTCGTGTGATACATGTTTTATGGTCCATTTTACATGACAAATGCGATTATGTGGGTTAGGCAGCCTTTGAGGCCAGCCTAGGTCACGTTTTTGTGAATGTCAGGTCAAGGTCAGGTCAAATTAGGTCAAATTTCAAAGTTGATATTTTTGCATAAAATGGGTATCGATTCGATGCAGCTCGTCACGGGGAGTCTAATGGTGGTCTTCGTTTTGCTCTACGAGTTCTAGAATTGCCAAAAATTGAGTTTGAAAATTTGACATCATCATTTTTGAAGTGTTTTCGCTATAACTTGGCCAAAAAACGAGATATCGATCTGAAATTTGGTATGTAGATAGAAGACGGTAGGCACTATCACATATACTCCGGTTTTTTCGAAACTCAAAAAACTTTTTGGATTTTTTGGCGAATATATCCAAAAAAATGCCTTTTTGATTTTTGGGGGTCAAAACTCAAAATTTTCAAAAATTCGAGATAGCAGTTTTGTAGCCCTGTCAATTCTACACCTTTTATGTCTTGATCATTTTTCTGTATCTTCTAAGCTGTAGTCCTGACAGGTCTTCTCGCGAAGGTCTTTTTTCGGTCGAAAATGACAGAACATGACGTCACTCTGACGTCATTTGTGGCCAACCTATCATATCCTCTGGAAAAATTTTTGGTCACAATGTGTAAAATTGATGCTCGGAGGGGTCCTGAAAGTTTGGTGGCGATATCTCCAGCCGTTTAGGAGATATCGACCGAAAAGGACAGGGGGGGGCCGTTTCGGCCCCCCCCCCCCCCTACGGGGCGCGGGTTAAGCCAACTGAAATTGTTCATGCTTCCATTATATAATATTAGCAATCCCAAATTCTATGAATAATATTTTACCTGTCCCTTTTGTCCAGTGGTGTTGCCAGTGTTTCTATTTCATGGGCGTGCTGGTAACGGCTGATATTTCACCTATGACAGATTTGGGTGCGGGGCCTCTTACGGTGGGCTGAACGGGCTGAACCCAGCTGGTCCCAGGTGATCCATAGGATTAGATAAGGATAGATGGTGTCGTAACTCCCCCGATCGGCGGGGTAACGGAGTGGAATGAGGCTTTCACGGTGCCAGTTATTACCGGGTCTGATAACCGCAGATCGAACAAGTCTGTTTCGGGACGTACGGTGCACCTGTAGGGACCAGAGATCAATGGGCCTGGCACCGGTTTCTCCCTTCTGGAAACTCGCTATTTGTGTTTCTGGGCCGTGCTGATAGGTGAATAGGCTGGCCGCCAGGTGTTCCGTGTATTTGGCTGGTGGCCGTTTCTAGAGGCTAATATTCCAGTCTATAGAGTCCAGTCGAGTCTATATTGACTGAACACTGCATAATGTAGAGTATTTGCCGGTAGGAATGTGACCGGAATGTCGATGGAGGTTTGTCACCACGGAATGCTGTCAACGCCCGGCGTTCGCCATTGGCCCAGAATGGCGTCCTTTGTTTTGTTTCACTCTGGAATGCTGTCCATGTTGTTGGCGTGCGGTATGCGCCCTCAATGCGGTCTATGTTTGCCATCAATGATTGCTCCGTTCCTGGTACCATGTCTGGTGGATGGTGGTGATGGCGGCGGGGAGCTCGCCCTTTCAGTCGTGGGCGAACCGCCGCCGGTCGATAGCAGCGGAGACGGCGGACCGTGGAGACGGCGGAGACGGTGGATAAAGCACGGATGGAACTAGGAGGCGTGGAACCTTCCTGACATAGTCTAGAAACTGAGCTAACGAGAACTGAGTGGCGCTTGGTTGGGTGGATACTTCGGGTGGATACTTTGTTTGAGTTCGTGCCGTGCCGAAACTTTGAAGTAACTGAGTTGTGAACCAGCTGTCCCCACTGTCTGTAACCCTGTATGCCATACGAGTTTTGCGCGTTGGCTTGTCCGCCAGACCCACTTATGCCTGACTTTTCTTCTCGTCCTTTTACAGGTGTTTGACGCCACCAACACGACCAAAGAGCGTCGGCGCATGATCTTCGACATCTGCACCCAGAAGCTCGGGTACAAGTGCTTCTTCGTCGAATCCATCTGTGATAAACCCAACATCGTCGAGTCGAACATTCTGGTGAGCACGGCTGTCACCTGGGGGCCAGTGTCGTTAGGTTACTGGGTCCATCGCTGGTCTCAGCCTGATGAAATATTACCGTGTTTGTCATAATGTGGATGGGTTTTAATTTCATTTTAATTTGTTACCAGCCTGCATTGAGCTGTGGAATGTGTGGATTGTTTGGTTACCAAGTGAGAAGCCGAGGCGAACCACGAACTTGTTTGTAAAAGAAGATTGTGTCGACGAAAGCCTTTTAGTTTCGAGCGAAATCGACTTGTTCCCATACTCAGCACGACACGTGTTAGCTCTGTATCCTATGTGATGGAGAGCTTATTTGCTACATCATTGTTTATCGTACTTGCCGGTTATTTTTCTCGTCTGTGGATGTTGATTGATCTGTGTTCCCCTCTCCCTCTCCAGGAGGTGAAGCTGACCAGTCCCGACTACACGGACTGCGACAAGGAGACGGCCCTGCAGGATTTCCTGCAGCGCATCAACCACTACAAGGCCTGCTACCAGACCATCGACGAGGTCGAGGAGGCCATGCTCAGCTTCATCAAGATCTTCAACGCCGGTAGGTACCGCCTCTCGGGTACGGGCTGCGAGGGGAATGGTTTGGATCATTGGATGTGACTTTAATGATAGATTTGTGTGAGGGTAACCGTTTCTCGTTAGAGCGATGCTGACGTATAACTGTGTCGCCTTTGTGAATCCCTGTGTCTATTCGCCTTTTTTCTGCTGAGTGTAACGGTGTCAGTCGCTGTCTCAGCATTGAGTGATACCCTGGCCCCGACCTGACTTTGCCCTGTCTGTCCCCCAGGCGAGAAGGTGATGGTGCACAAACACGAGGGGCACCTGCAGGCCCGCATCGTCTACTACCTGATGAACATCCACATCACACCGAGGACTATCTACCTCACACGGGTCAGTAAATACTGGGGTAGATCACCCAGGAATCCTATGTGCTCGCTGGTCTTTACTCCCGCCACTCAGGGCGCCATAGCTGTGCTATTTTTAATCTTTGAGTTGGTGTCGTCGTAAGCCCCTTGTTAGTCAGCAGAATGATGTGCTATTTTCTAAACTTGAGACTTTGTCCTTAACTTGAGATTGTGCTGTTTAGACTATGATTTCGGAGTACCCGAGGCGAACAATTTTGCTGCGGAATCAAGCAATTTGTCACAAGCAAAGCCCCACTTTGTCGCTATCTGTGGAACGCGAGCGTAGTCCTTACCTCGCTCGGCCCGGCTCGACCGTTGTTTGTATCTGTAGACCGGGTGGCCGGCCACGTGAGTGGACTGTAACCGGAGCCGGTCGGTGTATTGGTGTCGGACGCCGCCCCCCGACCTCCATCGGGCCCCGGTCAGCCTGCCTGGGGGCCCCTGCGGTGACCGCTGCTGATGTCAGGGTGTAGTGTTTGTAACGTCTGACCCCGGGGGTCGGTGGTACCCCCCAGCGAGGTGACTTGACCCGACCTGACCCGACCTGACCTGACCTGACCTGACCTCTGTCCGGCAGCACGGCGAGTCCGAGTTCAACCAGGTGGGGAAGATCGGCGGCAACTCGCGCCTCTCGGAGCGTGGCGAGCGGTACTCGCGTGCCCTGGCTGACTACATCCATGAACAGGTAAGGAGGATGGCGCCTTTCATTTGGTGGAATACTGAGTGCTGTTCGGCTCAGCGCAAAATATTTTGCAGCGTGTGACGGCACACTTTGATGACGTAAGCCACCTGGCTGAGCTGTTTGGGGGATTATAGTAAAGTCTTGTGTCGTCTGATGGTACGTTTGTCCCATAATCATTTGGGTCATGCTGGACTCAGTTATTTGGTGGTTCTTCTGTCCGCCCCGCTGGACCTTAGACCGGACGCTGTCCTCTGACCCCGATGGCGGCAGAGTGCGTTCTAGCCGTTCAGCACATGACAGACCACGCGGCTAAGCTTATTTTACCGGGGGCGGCGCCGGATGACCAGACGCCCTGCGCCGTGCCCACGCCCAGCTATATCCGCAAAGGACTGAGTCCTGACGACTGTTTAGATAGCGGTCTTGTGACCCAGTTAATATGATTGGCCAGTGTGTGTAGAATTATCGCATCTATCAGCGTAAACATTGGCCGCTCAGTGGTTTCGTTTATTGTCACATAGTTCAGATGTTCTTTCTCAATTAAATGATTTGAGTTTCTTGATGAGGCTGATGAGGATTCAGGGTGATGTAAGGGTCTAGATGACCCTCTCACTAATGATAATCGATACTTACATTTGTATGAGGCCTTCCTAATGAGAATATTTATCGCTTACTACCCACCAGCCATACAGTCCTTCGAATGTTTTCTCTGGCGATGCCTTTTTCATGACCATGGCCAACCACCCACGCGTGTCTGTCTTTGAACACCGTCTTATCCTGAGTATGCACTCCTTCTAACTCCCCTCCCCCGTCCGGCGCGCCCGCAGAAGATCGACGACCTGCGCGTGTGGACCAGCTGGATGTTGCGCACCATTCAGACGGCGCAGCACATCTGCGCGCCCCAAGAGCGCTGGAAGACGCTGGACGAAATCAACGCCGGCACCTGCGAGGAGATGACTTACGAGGAGATCCAGCACAAGTTCCCCGTAGACTTCGCCGCCCGAGACCAGGACAAGCTGAGGTGAGTCTAAATGGGCGGATAGAGAGTGAATGGGGGAGGGAACTGGTTTAGCCCGTGCGCGCCATAGCTGTATATACGCAGCGATACCGAATACAAATGTGCTCGCTTGCCTCCGAAAACTAGGCGACGGCTGACGATACTTGTGATGGTTCTTGCGCCCTGGGCGGTGTGTGCTCCCGATTGGTTCGCGGTGGCCGGACACATTGTGCAGTGTGCACTGTGTAGTGTCAAGTGGTTGTACTCCATTCATTTACCCAGTACCCACAGTGTACTGATGAGTATCTGTACCCCTGCCTGTCAAGTACCAGTACCCGCACGGTGAGAGTTACGAGTGGTGTACTGAGTGTACCCCTATATCCCAGGTACCGGTACCCGCGCGGTGAGAGTTACGATTGGTGTACTGACTGTACCCCCTACCTATATCACAGGTACCGGTACCCGCGCGGTGAGAGTTACGAGGACCTGGTGGCCCGTCTGGAGCCCGTCATCATGGAACTGGAGCGCCAGGAGAATGTCCTGGTGATCGGCCACCAGGCCGTGCTGCGCTGTCTGCTCGCCTACTTCCTCGACAAACCAGCCGGTGAGTACACTAGGTTAGCGACTGGAATGAAATCAGTGCTCTCGGAGCCATGTTGTGAGAAGTTAAGGTTTCAGATGACGTTGTGCTTCTACGCTTTGTTGTTTGATGGTGATTCGCTTTTATAGCCCTTTGTCGGTGTTCGCTTTTCTGTGTGCTGTGTTACTGTTAGTAAATGGCTGTTTCCGCTGAGGTATACCAGAGGTGTTACATCCGTCCGCTGACTGTGACCCCTCGCTATCCTTTCCCTTCATCCGCTGACGCTTCCCTTCCACCCTGCCCACAGAGGAGCTGCCCTACCTGCACGTGCCGCTGCACACCATCATCAAGCTGAAGCCGACGGCGTACGGCTGCGAGGTGGACTACGTCAAGGTGCCGATCGACGCCGTGGACACGCACCGGAGCCGCCCCAAGGTACGGCCGCTGTGCGCGCCCCGCCGGCGTCCCGGCGCCCCTCCCTGTGACCGGCGTGTGACTCTGTGAGCAGGCTCGGCGCGGCGGCGGCGGCGCAGCGGGGCGGCGGCGGCGGCGGCTGGCGACCGGCCGGCACGCGCGCGCCGAGCCCTAAACGGTAGGTGGCCCCGCCGGCCGGCCGTCGAGCGCGAGACGGGCCGCCCGTGCCGGCGCCGTGCGGGCCGAACGGGGCGCGAGCCGCCGCGCGGGGCGATAGATGACGGTGTGGGGTGAAATAATTATGTAGTCTGATGGGCAGATCTGTTCACTGAGCGGAGGGGCACGATTCAGATGATACTTGATTCGCTGAGCATGACTGGGAACTGCATTATGATTCCGCGGCCCCGGTTCCCTAGCCGTTCGGTAAGGATGCCCCCCCCCCCCCCCGAGCACGGTATTGCCTGTAACTACCCTGGTTCTCTCATCTGATCCGAGCCATCCCTGCTCTGAGCCAATCCGAGCCCCTTCCCATCTCCGCACCTCCGACCGCTGCTCTAACCCTGCCGGTCTGTGGCGTGTGTTCCAGGTCCCGGGCAGCCTGTCTGCGCACCACCAGGGCGCTGCCAACGGCGCCAGCTGCTGTCACAACGGCCTCACCAACGGCACCACCAAGGGCAGCACCAGCACCAGTGGCAGCTACGCCGGTGCCGAGGCCACTTGTGATCTCATGTCCGAGGAAAATATGGTGGTGTAGCACTCGAGGTCGGACGGCCCGGCACGCGATAGGACTTCAATGCGACGCGCGATTCTCCGCTCTCTGTGAATGCCTGTGATGCGATTGTGACACTCATGTCGACATCTTGGTGCGGAGGTACCGCCTCATGCGATGTCTGATGGAACTGTGCTCGGAAGGTTACTCGCCTGGCGCCTGGTACCGGCAGTGAGTCCAGTGTCGCCCCCACCCCTTGTGGATCTCCCGGTGATAGATTTTAACCCTTGTATGGTCGGTCCGGTCTCCTAAATGACCGGGTGGGTAGGCCGATGTATCGGTTAAGAGTTGGTTGAGAACCATGTTTTGTAGCTGATCTTTCTGGAAGTGCCGCTGGAAGGGTGGTTGTTTTGATCCCGTAGGTCGCAGACGGTTATGTTTAATGCCTGGTGAGCGCAGCGGGTTGTGGTATTGTACTTTTATCGTACTTTTTTGGCAGCATCGTCGGCATAGGTCGCTGTTTCTCTGGTGGTTCGTTGTGATGATGCGGGGCCGCCTCGTCCGTCCTGGCCCCGATAGGTATCCTGGGCGGTGGGATGGCAGTCCGCCACGACCACCCTCCCCATGTTGACGGGACGGTGCTGTGAGGTGGGCCAGGTCATTTTGAGCAGCTGCCGCCAGCCGCAATACGCATGCTCATCCGTATCACAACCCAATCGATATCGTATCTCGTGCCATCGCGCAGAGTCTTGTTTTAGATGCGGCAATCAACAGAGTTGTGCCGTTCCTGCTAAGTTTCTTAGACCTATTTATCGTGCTCATATCTTCCAATCGTGAGGTCGTTGGCCAATAAACCATTCCTATTCGAATATCCGACTGAGTTGAGAGGTGGTTATGGATCGTTTAACGTTACCGATGTCTCCGCGTCAGGTTCCAGCTCATCCAATGCTTAATCTACAAGGTATCTATGATAGATTAATGCGTGTCGTATGTCTGTCTTTTGTGTAGAGTTACTGTCACATATCGCATGCCTCGAATTGATAAAAAATAGTCTGCATTGTAGTGTTACCAAACGCTTCTTCGTACGTAGCTTTGCATTGGTCATACCAAAATGTTTCCGTACTTAGCTTTGCTTTTATCATGTAGCATTTCCGTCTCGTTTCCAGCAGCCCGCATTGTAGCCAGTTTGCATTTTGTGTTCCGCAGTTGTTCGCTTTTTCGCTGTTGTCCCGCTGTCCGTCGTTATGTTCTGTTGCCATCTGTATTTGTTAGCGGTGACTGCTGTCGATTCCGTTTGTCTCGTTCTACCCCGTAGGCGGTATTTCGCCCGTTAGAATCATCTTATCCGGTTACGTTACGTTAACTTTGCTTCTCGCCTATATGTGCTCCATGTCTCAAAGTCTGGTGCCCAGGATTCATGGGAAGTTAGGCAATGAGACGTGATAAACGATTGGATGCGACTTTGACTAGTGGTCCTCTGCAGTTGGCTCTTGATTTCAAAATGTATAACCTGCTAGGAAGCCTTCTGTATGCCGCCGCCATCCCACGCTGCCTCACCAGTCACAAGGCCCCGGTCTGCCCTCGAGACATCTCCTCAGATGAGACCAGTCTCCGTCCATCCCGCCTATTAGTTCGTCTGTCCGTCTGTCGTCAGTTTGACTGTCCATTTCCGTCCGTCTGTCCGTTTGTCCGGCGCTCGTCTGTCCGTCTGTCGTTCTGTCCGTCTCTTCGCTCGTTCGTCTGTCCGTCAACACATCGTCTACTTTTCTGTCCGTCCGTCTATCTGTCTATCTGTTCGTTCGTCTGGCCTGTTCATGAGTTCAGTATAGCGTCCCGTTGTCCCGTGTCGTCGCCGCCCGCCGCGAGGTGGCGCTGCCGTCTCCCGTCTGCTCTTCGCCTCGGCGCTGCCTGTCGCCGCCGGTCCGTCACCCTGGTATCTCGTCTCTCGTTCCAGGTGGTTAGTCTGTCCCGATCGTACGAGGACGCCATGGAGACACTGCCTTTCCACTTCTGAGCGGGCCAGCCGGCGTCTGATGCAGCTCAACAGCGCGGCACCCTGACCTGCTGCAACGTCGCACCACGACGGTTGGTCTGAGCTGTGACTGTTCGATTCAGCTGGGGCCTCGGTCGACTCTTTTGGGCCTTGATGGCCTAATTGACCTCAGTCGCCCCGGTTGAACTCTGGTGACCTCAGCTGTGACCTCGGCTGACTACTATTCGTCGACCGGTACAAAACAAAGGACCGAGTGTGGCAGGGCGGCGGACTGCTGTATTTACAGCGCACAGGACGGTACTTGCCGCACGTGTTGCGCACAGGGCCACCACACACAGGCCAGGCCGGCACAGTGGTTCGCGACATGAGTTTGCTCCCGGTCGGTGTAGAGACAGCGAGGAGGGCCAGTCGTGTGTTATGTTGGCAGTGAGGGGCTGTGGGATGGATGAAGAGGTCAGTGGCTGTGTGTGGGTCGGTCGCAGTGGCGCCGACCCGTGCCAGTAGAGTGAAGCCACGTATCAGTAAAAAGGCAGAGTTCAGGGTCCGAGTGGCCAGTGGGCTACCATGACAATCGTGTCAGTTTGAGGATGTGATGGACGCGGCCTAAGTTGATTGCGGAAATGACAGTGATCGGCTTATTTAAGCTCTGTCTTGTGGTTTAGGAGGCTGATGCATTGACCAGGGTCGCAGTGTCCGCTGTATAAGCATTCAGTTTCCATAACTGACACATCTTTACCCGATATTTCCCATCTTCACTATCCAGCGATGCCGAGATATTATGTGCTTATAGCAGACGTGCGTGATATAGTATAATCGATTGTGTTCAATATCTGACAACGGTCTATTTGGCACTATTGTGCGATGTATTTGACTACTGTGAGTGCTCTGTGGGTCTTGTATATTCTGTCCTTTACACTGGAGATCGGGCTGTCCTTATCATGCTTCTGCTCGGGCTCTTGACCCACTATTTCAAAGACTTCGCGACTAGCGTTTTTTAATCTAGCCTCATTCTGTTTTCTTACATATCGTTTTTCGCCTTTCATTTAGACCATGGGTAGAAGAATGTTATCACATTCTATAGCTAGACACTGGTTAGGTGGGTTTGACAATGAATTGCTGTGTATCTGTGCTGCGCGCGACAACGAGCCCCCCCCCCCCCCGCCGGGCAGACAGTGTGATATGCCCCGGGCTCGGAAAAAGCAGCGAGGTTGTGTGATGCATTCAGCCCACGGTGCTCGCGACCCGATCTGGCTGGGCAGCATGCTCTATGCAATCGCCCAGTGGAACGCTGTTTGACCAGATGCCGTTGTAGCCAGTGCCTGTGAAACCCCGCTGTCTAAAGACACAAGCCTGCTGTGCATTTGAGCGTACCGTGTGCCCGCGTCCTGGTAGCACTGTTCTGGTAGGATCCGCGGCTGAGGTAGGGATCACCCGGCCCGGCCCGGACCCTCAGAGGCGACGGTCTGAGCGGCTATAGTAGCAGAGCCTGAACGATCGCGCGATACTGTCATAACTTATAGCGAGACGCGAAAATACATCATTATTTGTCGTACGTTCTGTTTTCCTTCTCGGTTATTGTGCTGACGTCGCATCAACACCCAGAGGAGTGAAAAGTACATGCATTATGAACGAGGCGGGGGTCCCCAGGCATCCCAGAAGAATGCACAATATCGGTGCGGCCGTACCGCCGTGAGGCGAGTGCAACTGCTCGGGCTGAAACAGCACACCACCGCATCCGCAGTTGGAACCTGATCGATACTTTGCAAGCTGAATTTATAGCACGGTTTTTGTTATGTTGCTGCAGCGGATATCATACACTCGGCGATACCGGTCGGATAACCACATTTGCTCATTGTGCAATGTGCATCCATCAAAGCTGTAAACCTGTCGATGGATTACGGACTTCAGAAATCCTTCGAATATACTACCACCTGATGTTCTGTCAGCGCTGCGTAGTGTGCAGGCATAGCAGAGGTTTTGGGCATAATCCGCTCAGTGCCCATTATAGCCTCTAAGTACTCTATAAAGGCTTCATACAGTGGTGGTGTTTGCCGTTTGCGTATGGGTGGGTAAAGGCATATGTAGGTACTCCTGATCACTCAGTTCCACTCGGGGTACCTATAGCTGTCCGTAGACGAGGAAAAAACGGACTGCTTCCTATCAGCCGCGCTTATGTAAGCCCACGACACAAATACAGCGCCTGGGGCGTCCTTGGACGGCGCCGCCCCCCCCCCCCCCAGACGGGGGTCCGGGGGCCTGGGGGGACGCGGGGATCCTCTGACGCCGTCGGCTGGCCGCCTGCCCCCGGTCGATAACAGCTGCGCAGGCAGTGCTCGGGCCGCTGTGGTCACCGCCGGCGGCACACACGAGGTCGGTGACGGGTCGCCGGGCGGTGGGGGGCGACCCGTGACGGTAGGGCGACCCGTGACGACCCGTGACGGTGACGGTGGCCGGCACGGACCCGATCCGTCGGTACGATAACCTGCGTCGGCTGATAAAGAACGTCCGAGCGGAGGGGAGCCGTCACCAGGTGCACGCGATCTACTGGCGGCCGGCCGGCCGGCTGCACGGTATGTTGTGACTCAGTGCACAGGGACTCGGTCTGTACCGATGCAGGCAGTGCAAGGATCTAGCTTAGTGCAGTAGCGGCGGGCCCTGGGTGTGTGCGTTGCGGTATTGGGTCAACTGTCAGCGACGGCAAGGCACGACGCGAGGCTGCACATCGTTGCAGCTTGAATGAAGTCTGCGATTGGAGGTTTGTGGTTATGTAACGTTGCTGGACCTGGATTTCCTGGAACTCTGGCATTCATGTCCGATACATACGGCCTTGATCGACATGACTTTGTGCGGCCTGTAGTGTGACATTTGCTACTGAACGCAGTGCAGTCGTCAGTGATTGTCAGCGCCGAGGGCTGGGACCCGTTTGTGCGAGCAACAGCTTCACTATAGGACTCTGGAGCTCCGCTTCACAGCTCAAGAGCTCTACTCTTCAGACCTACAGAGCTCCACCGCAGAACTTCTGAGCTCCTCTTTACAGCTCAAGAGCTCCACTACTGACCTCCAGAGCCCCCTCCAGAACTCCAGCCATGTTGGAGGTCAGCACCCTGCGCCCGGTGAAGCTGGCGCTGCTGTATCTGGCCGACCTGTGGACCTTCCTGCGCTCCTTCTACAGCGACGACTCGGACGTGCCGCCGCCGCGGCCGGAGCCGCAGTCGGACGCCTGGGTGGAGGCCAAGCTGACCACGCTGCTGCAGGAGGCGCCGGAGGAGGACGGCGACTGCGGCAACAGCAGCTCCCAGCCGCCCGACTGGCTGGATGACCGAAAACTGGCCCGCGCACGGCGGCTGCACGAGCTCTACTGGCCGGTCATCAACAACTCCCAGGTGATGTCTCTGTTCCTGTCGTTCACGACGATCGGCGCGCGGCCGCTGGTGTACACGCGCCGCTCCGACACCGTGCCGCGCGCGCGCCGACGCTACCTGGAGACGGCGCTGTACACGCTCACCTGGGTGTTTGGTGACGTCTGGCTGCCGACTGACACCGCCTTCAGTAACGCTGACAAAGTTCGAGCCATGCACCGCCGCGTGACGGAGCAACTGGAGGGGAAGGACCTGGCTGAGGTCGACCTGCCGGCGCCGGGTCGGTGTCCGCTGGCGGCCCTCAGAGGCGACCTGGGCCCGCCGCCGGCGGAGCCTGCTCGGCCGACACGATTCCTCTCCCAGCTGGACATGGTGCTGACGCAGTGGTTCTTCGTTGGCCTGGTGGTGCTCCATCCGGAGAAATTCGGCCTGGCGCACCTCACCGACGACGACCTCGAGTGTTTCGTCCACCTGTGGCGGAGCGTTGGTCACCGGCTGGGTGTGGCCGAGAGACACAACCTGTGTGTCGGCTCGCTGACCCAGGTGCGCGCGCTGTGTCTGCAGTTGGAGCGGCGCGTGCTGGTGCCGCAGCTCCGCCGCCCGGACCGCTGCTGGCTGGGCCTCACACACGCCCTGTTCGACGGTCTGGGCACCGTGTTCCGCCAGTGTCACCACGACGTGTTCCTCTACTACATACTGCACGACGTGCTGGGACTAGAGGTCCCGCGACTGTACGGCACCCTCTCCTGGCTGACCCGGCTGCGCCACCGCCTGCTGCGCACCATCTTCCGGCTGGCCAACGGCAACACAGAGATGCACGCGCGGATCAGAGAGCGCGCTCGCACCGAGTTTGTGACCGGGGTGGAGAAAGAAGGCCTGCCCAAGAACGTTACCTATGTACTCGATTTTATCTAGTCATCGGTTCGAATATTCGAACAGCAATAAAGACGTTCTAGTGAATAGGGCTTGCGGGTCAAGCCAAGATGCCTTACTATTGCTAGTCGAACTGATCATAGACCGCTGTATACATAGGCATATGACCGTATCTACATACAATAATTATGGACATACGTGACGGTTTGTTCCTGGTTGACCTCATGGTTAGAGGGCGTTTAAAAACGCTCACAGAATGAACATTCTCATTATAAACATCCACCACCCTGGACTACAAAAACAGAGATATGTCCTTGGACTCTATCTCGTAATATACACAATTTCCAGACCCATGTCGAGCCCCGGGCCTGGAGAAAGAAGGCGGGCAGTTGTCTCCCCGGGATCTCAGAATGCCCTTGCATCCCGAGGTGTCTTATATTCGTGAGTCCAGGTTGAATGCATTATGCAGCATTCGATCGAGGTTACTCAATAAGAAGCGTCTAGCTTCGTGAAAAACATTAATAATTGGCTCTCAGCAAGGCTTTGGGTAGCAGGTCAAGTCAGGTCGGACACAGGTTTAGAGCCTCGGGTCAGACCCACAGTCAAACTTCCGTGTTTGCAAACCTCTGAACTGTAAAAAAGCTTATCAGCAAAAATCAATGAAAACAAATAAATAATGGATGGTATGAGTTCAAAGCAGCAAGAGACCAGCCTCAGCCAGCGCACAAACGTCCATGAGACATATCCGCTGAATAATCCAACATTAATTCATGTCGGTAAGCTGGCTGCAACTCAAACAGCGATGGCCGATGTTGTCAGTCGAAATTCTGCCTACGAGTCTCAACTCACGGGAGGTGGGCTGGTCATTGGTTTGTGGAAGGTGGGAGTGAGGGGAAGACGCTTGGCGATGCTTGCGGCAACCAACAGTCTTCTCTCCACAGACAGTGCCTCAACCTACACGATGTGAATTTTGTGTCAAGACATCCTCATTGTCTAATTTGATACATTCCTATATGTCAAAATACTTGGCCTCACTGACAGAAGTTGTGTTGTCTGTGAAACCTTGTATTCTTCGACACACTCCGAAATTGCTGATACATGATACACGCTTGTCTCTCGAATTTCAGCCCCACGGTTCCTTGTGGGATTAAAATATCATTTCACAATGCGACATGAATAATAAAGACGACACACGCGCGACAGCCTCACAACTCGGGATAAAACTGCTGATCAGATCAGGTAAAGCTACATCGATCGCACCTATATGCACGGGGACGAGTGAGGACACAGACAGCTTGGTGTCCACCTCCTGGGAACGGATAACACCCCTAGCAGATGGACCAGCACCGATAGGTAGCGACTATATGCCACAGTGCTCCCACAGTGCTCCTGTGGTAATACAGGCCCGACCACCAGTCACTACGGCCTAACCAGGGAAAGCGGCTACTCGAATTTACCTAACGATGTACTCGTGTCCACAAACATAACATAGAATAACTGGCCTATATAATGATTTTGACTCCAATCTGAATATAAATGTACACAATAAAGGATTTAGAGTTCCAGAAATATACGCTTGCTGCATCAGATAAATCGGGATTTCGTTAGCCTACTGGATAGCAACATCGCGCCTCCGTAATGCCTATCCGTGGACCTTCTACAGCAAACATTGATGAGTTAGCATAAGGAGTTATCTAGGTGGGCCTCTAAATCCCTTAGAGACCGTACAGATCACGTCGGAAACGCTATCACCAAGCCAGGTTCCATTCACACCTGGCACACACAGTTCACTTGCCTGCCGTTGACTCGGCTCCATGGCAGCGCCGGCTGCGCCCCGACCCGATCCGTGCACCACTGACCGCCGCTGTCGGGGCGCCGTGCGATCCACCGCCGACACCTCAGTGTGCTCTATCACAGATGATTCAGCTCGCCGACCGGCCTCAGACGTGTCGCTGCAGCCAGCGGAGGGCCTCGCTCAGGTCGGCATAGGTGAGACGACAGAGGAGAGTGTGCACGAGCACGTGCTCCAGCCGATCGTCGCGCTCCGTGCGGCTGCGCCACTCGCACATCACCTTGGCGGTCAGTGTGAGAAGCCACTGCCGAATCTGCAAAATACAGAGGGAGGATTAAAGACACGCATGACACAGACACATCACCTTGGCGGTCAGTGTGAGCAGCCACTGGCGAATCTGCAAAATACAGAGGGAGGATTAAAGACACGCATGACACAGACACATCTCCTTGGCGGTCAGTGTGAGCAGCCACTGGCGAATCTGCGAAATACAGAGGGAGGATTAATGACACGCGTGACACTGACACATCTCCTTGGCGGTCAGTGTGAGCAGCCACTGCCGAAGCTGCAACGCACACAGAGGAGGAGAGTCAGTGTGAGCAGCCACTGCTGGGTCTACAACGTACACAGAGAAAGAGAGTCAGTCAATGTGAGCACTGAGCAGCCACTGTCGAATCTGCCGCATACAGAGGGAGTCAGTCAGTGTGAGCAGCCACTGCCGAATCTGCAACGCGAGATGAGAGAATTAAGCACATGACACCGGTCAGGCACAACATTGGCATTACAAGGCGGGCAGGTATACCACGGACAAACGCAGACATTTCAGTCAGATACCGACGTAATCATCATATGCCTAGGGCCAGCCAACTGACAACGCTGTCAGTCACATTATACGGATTTTATCAGAAATATATGAGAAATAAACATCATCCAACATGGCAACTCTTTAAACCAACAGTATCCACCACCGCGCGGGTCATGTGCCTGTAACAAACGCCCAAGGGACGGAGAGAGAAGGCAAGCACGGTGCTCCGAACTCTCACCTGTTTGTGAGAGGGAGGCGCGGCGAACCACGCTTTGGGCGCCCACAGAATCAGCTGGCAGATGGTGGCCGCTGCGCGCGCAGACACACGCTGAAACGGGCAGAACACGCAACGTCAGGACAATTTGACGCGAGCGTATTAGAAGCAGTGCAGCAGATAAGATCAAACGGTCGCACAAAAGTCCACAATGTAGCAGTCCATACACACTGGAATACACCGTTACCGACATTGGAATCAAGTCGGCACAAGGACGTAAAATCATGATTTTGAAATTAAAAATGGAATGAATCAATTATCGGAGAAGATAGACGTGACAAAAAAGAGCGGCGGCAGCCACGACGGCATTTCCAAGGGATTGGGGGTACTAATGCAGAATGCTACTGAACTAAATCAGTCAGTAGCTTCCTCAGCTGTGCAAGTTTGTTCGCTCATATTGCAAAGAGTAACGCTAAGCACAATCTTCAACCGCACCATCCCATCCCGTAACAGCCCACCCGACACCAGCCTGCACACCTGCGCCGGGTCGCGTCGCAGCATATCCTCCACCAGGCAGCGCAGGAGCGCCGGGACGGAGGCCGGCAGAGGCGGCAGGTCACGTTCAGAGTACGTGGCGCTGTTGAGTCGGTCCGGCCCGTAGAACGGGTTCGTGCAGCCCAGGATCTCGTAGGCGATGGTACCGACCGCCCAGACGTCCGCCCGGCTGTAGTCCAGGGAGGCGAACCGGCCCGGCCGGCCGCCAGAGATCTGTGGAGTGAGCGATGGGTAGTGGCGCGGTCACAGAAACGCTACGGCCTTCGGTACACAGTACACACCACAGTACAGAGCACACACGGACATATCGGCTGTGATGAATCTCATTCGCCACGGATAGACTGTAGGGACTCGCTAGACTGACACACTATATCCCACAAAGATGCAACTCGATTACCGGAGGAAAAACCAAACAACTCATCAAGGGTATACAACTCATCGGAAAAGAGAATCTAAAATTGGGACCAGCAAATCCCCTCCCTTCCTCAGCCACGTTGCGCAGCTTCCCTGCGCTGCCCCTCACCTAGCACGCCCCTCACCTAGTCCGAGTACCAACCTCGGGGGGCATCAGGGCCAGGTTGCCGCCGCGGTCGACGTCCCACGAGGTGAACGGCACGGTCAGCGCGCCGCTGGTCTCAGCCAGGCAGCAGCCGAAGTCGGATATGACCAGCTGTGGCTGCTGCCGGCCCGCCGACGTGTCCACCAGCAGGTTGTCCGTCTTCAGGTCCCTGCGCGCGTACAGAGAGTCCTCATGTGAGTTAGGTGCCTAGGCTACTTGGGGCTGACGGGCTCGTTGGCTACGGGATAATTTGCGCCCAAGTCGTCCGGTAAGCGGAGAAATATAATTGAATCAAGACCAGCACACTAAGCAGTCGAAAACACACAGTTGACGATCACACAACCAGAGGTTGGAGCCAGACAGATGCAACAGCCTAGTCCACCGTCCAGCCTGAAGCCTAGTTCTAGACAGGGTTGGACCGTTGTCTATGTTGGGATTCTGTAAAGGCCTGTAGTCATGCCGCTCGTACCTGTGCGCCACGCGGTGCTGTCCCAGGTGGGTGACACCCTCTAACAGCTGAGTGAGCAGCAGCAGCCGGGTGTGAGCAGACAGCTCCGGACACTGGGCCAGCAGGCTGCGCAGGTCGCCGTCGTACCTGTCGGAAAATAGCGGTCACAATACTGTAGTCTTCTGAACACTGAAGTCACAGTCACAGGGGAAAAGGAACTGGGATTATGCTTATCGATACCACAGACCGTGTGAATCGAGACCACGGACAAACACAGATTGTGGGCGCCGTTACTAGACAAGAGATGGTAAATAATTGACATTATTACATTGTGCGCATCGTTTTTCGTTACCACAGACTCGGGACCCCCTTCCCCCACGAGCCGCAAATAGCTGGGTAGAGGAACAAAGACAATAAACCCTAGACCACCACCATGACAAGCCGTACTTCACTAGAGCACTGAAGATCTAGCAGCACTCTGTTATCGGAGTGTTATCATCGGAGTATTATCTGCCAGCGATATCAAACCCAATTAACAACTACCTAGCTATCTAGCATTCCCGTCGCCAAGTAAAAACTGACTGATATGGGTACTGCGCCTCAGACTCAGTACTGACTGACCGTTTCATGAGCAGGAAGAGACTGGCGTTGCGGCCGGCTCCGTCCGGGTTTAGTCGCGCCGGCAGCGCGGCCGGGTAGCTGGAGAGAGCGCCACCCACCAGCGGTACGCGGTCCACCAGCACGGCTCGGATGTCGACGATGTTCCGGTGGGGCGGCAGGTCGGCCAGCCGCAGTCCCACGCTGGGACAGAGAGAACGGGAGGTCAAACAGCCGCAGTCCCACGCTGGGATAGAGGGCACGGGAGGTCAAACAGCCGCAGTCCCACGCTGGGACAGAGGGCACGGGAGGTCAAACAGCCGCAGTCCCACGCTGGGACAGAGGGCAGTAAGTGATAAGATGGCAGGTCGACCAGTGCAGTCCCACACTGACAAAGGAATACAGCTGCAGGGTGGCACAGTCATTGCGAGCACTTACCAACGCCAGTCCTACATATTTGACAGTGACACAGTCACAGACGGCAGCACGTCAATCTCGCCAGTCAGCCTGCCTCGCTACGCCACTTTAAAACATACTCCTGATTCCAAGTCAAATTTGGATGGACAAATTTCATACTTCACCAGTGTGCGGCTATCCTTTACCACCCTTTAATACCCACAATAACCCAGAAAGAACTGCTCAGTGCACACACAGCCCCTCCGCTCACTAGCCCGATGACACATGCTGCATACAACTCCCCATCCGCTCTCACTAACCATGTGACCAGACATAGGACCTTCTCAGTGACGGTGTACCAGGGAGCCGGCACCATCCGCCCTGCACAGTCCCCTGGGCGCCCGCCCGCTCTCACTTACCCTGTGACCAGGCGTCGGACCTCCTCAGTGACGGTATACCAGGGAGCCGGCACCACCTCGCGGTGCATGGCGCGCAGAATGCTCCAGGCGTTACTCTCGGCGTCGTAGTTGAACATCATCTTCAGAGCCAGGTTCCAGCGAGCATCTCCAGTGCCTACAAATCGGACGACAGGGGAGAGCATACAGCGGGTTAGGACGATCGACGATCATATATCGCAAACGCATAAACTCAAACACAGACCCATGCAGAAGCAATCAAAGACCAAGAGAGTTAACTACATAATTGAAGTGTTTTCTTTCCAACATTCAGCATCGACAAAAACGGCAGCACGGAACAAAGGGACGGAAGTCTGCCAAATAAAATATAGCTGGATGTGAAAAGAGGGATGGGTAATTGGCGAAGAGCCCGTTCCTAAATTCGGCTGCTGGCGTCCCACCTTTGATGCGGGCTTTATAGACGACGGCGTTGCATCCCTTGGCGATCTCGTCGCTGATCTCAATGTCGTGGAGTGTCTCGACGTTGGCGTGGCAGTCAGACGGCTCCGGGTCACAGTCGGGCCAGTGCATGTCGCGCACAAACTTCTGCTCACACAAACAAATGTGCCAGTGCGCAGTAAGCATTCGGCAACCATTCAGAATCTGCATCGCGTTGAAAATATTTACAATTTTTGCACGACAAATTTTAAGTATATTTTATTTCATTTTTATAAATTTAATCCGAACCTTTTGAATGAAAAGATTCGCAAGGAGTTGAAAATATAATCAATAGGCGTAACGACCAGTGATATTCATCTATTTCTGCACCGAAAAATGAGGGGGTTGATAAACAACTCACCCTTAGCGAACGTAGCCCTCCCGGTGATTCTTCATTCTAAACCTAAGAATTACGCCGTTTCAAACGAAGGTTTTCAATTAAACCACTTCAGCACCAAAACTGAAATCCCTGAGGCCGACGGACAGAAATAAGAAGCTGGTGCATCGTACCTTGATATCTGCGCAGAGCACCTCCATGCGGTCCGCTTTGGTGACGAGTCCGTCATCTCCGGTCAGGGTGATGCCAACAAACGCCACCAGGGTGTGGGTGCCGCCGGAGAAGAGGAGACGCTGAGCCAGCTCCTTGCACTGGCGCGACAGCAGCCGGCTGGAGGGGTTCACCAGACTGCCCACCAGCTGCCGCGTCACCCAGCGCACCTGGAAAACGACAGAGTCAGACACTACAGGCTGCCCATCAGCTGGCGCGTCATCCAGCGCAACTATAAAACGACAGAGTAAGACACTCCAGACTGCCGCGTCACCCAGCGCACCTGTAGAGCGACAGAGTAAGATATTCACACATTCGTTTAGTTACTCTTTACGACCAGAACACTTACCATCGAGCAGGTTACTTACGATGTTTGAGCGATAGAATGAGCTAGAGTGCTTTATCGATGTTGCAAGTTCAAAATTTAGAAAAAGAAGAGGACGAAAACGCGCAATGCACCAAAAGAACCAGTCGGGAGCGATCAGTGTTTGTAAGTTTGGTCAGATGAGGATTCCAAATGACCAAAATTCAAGAGTCAGGTTCAACTACTATCCTTCCTTGAGTTACGAGTTTATTTATTCCATCACTCACCTGTTGCCTCAGGACTGTAGTCCAAGCGACGACGGGGTTCGAGACCGCTACGGGCGGCGGCGGCGGCTGTTTCAGAAGCACGCGGTGGTAGGTGCGACTCGGAGGATCGAGCGTGGGCCGACCTCGGGGCCCGGCGCGGGAGCAGCGATCACCGTCCGTCAGCAGACGGTGCACCAGCTTATTTCGGCTCAGCTTCAGCACATAGTCGTTCAGCTTGGTGTACAGAAATTGGCCCAGCAGCATACCGTTCATTTTCAGATGGATGTTGAGTCTCAGAGTTAGAGATATAGAGAGAAAAAGAGCATTGGGCGCAGGCAGGAGACAATGCCTGTGGGAAAAAAACCTGAGCATTATGAAAAATGGACCAATGTCAACCATAGAAAGGAAGAGCTAAGACTTGGTGCAAGCAAGCCTTGATAGCAGCTATCTACCACCACATATTACCACCTAACTAAGCTGGTATCTTGGATATAAAATTATGGTTATTGATAAATCAATTTGCTGATCCCTCATAACTCATCAGTGTTAGCCACAGGAACTATGTCAATGTTGGCACAAGCTTGTCTGGCCAGCCATTGACAAACCCCAGGCTACACTATATCTTACAAGGCCTATGCACCAGTGTCGTGCCAGCAGTCTCACATCAGCAAGCTTGGTACACCAAATCAGCACAATAACACACAGCCACCCACACTGCTCCACACAAAACCTTTACCCAAAAGTAATTTATCTGCACTTTGGGTGCAACTTGCTCAGGAGACTGCACAGTATTGCAATTTTCATGATATCTCATTGATGCAGACTGCAGAGGCACTCAGCCATTGCACAGTGTGGTGTGGTGACTGGTGTGGATTTAAAATGGCGTGGTCCAGATTTTTCATGAATTGGTGCAGGCCCCAATCTGGGCCTCAATTATGTCATACTAATACCTGCAGAATCATGTAGCATTTTATTGGAATTGTATATCATAAGTGCATATTTCTAAATTTTGTGGCCAAAAATATGTAGTTACTCTCTTTTTTGTGTAATTTGTGCAGAGTTCCTTGGTGTAGGCTGGTGCAGAGTAATCAGTTGTCAACCTAGCCTAGCACCTGGTGCTACTTTCTCCAACTAGCAGCCAGGACAAAATAGTCATAATGATCAAAATGATCTCATAGATGAGGATGGTATCGGTAACCCTGGCGTCACCGGTAATGTTTTCGTTCAAGGTTAGGATTTCTTGTATTAGGCCGCCGTGCCAGGCCGAAGCATGCTGTGACGTCACTGGAAGAGAAGATAACTTATCACGCTTTCAGATTCAGGTCGACTCAGACCGACTCAACCGACTCAAATCGATTCCGATCGACTCAGACAGACTCAGAACGACTCGGAGAGACTCAGGCAGACTCAAACCGACTCAGCAGACTTAGACCGATTCCGATCGACTCAGACTGACTCAACCGACTCAAATTGATTCCGATCGACTCAGACAGACTCAGAACGACTCAAACCGACTCAGGCAGACTCAAACTGACTCGGCCGACTCAAACCGATTCAGATTGACTCAGACCGACTCAGATAGACTCAGAACGACTCAGACTGACTCCGATCGACTCAACCGACTCAAATCGATTCCGATCGACTCAGACAGACTCAGAACGACTCAAACCGACTCAGGCAGACTCAAACTGACTCGACCGACTCAAACCGATTCAGATCGACACAGACCGACTCAGATAGAGTCAGAACGACTCAAATTGATTCTGATCGACTCAGACAGACTCAGAACGACTCAAACCGACTCAGGCAGACTCAAACTGACTTGACCGACTCAAACCGATTCAGATCGACTCAGACCGACTCAGATAGACTCAGAACGACTCAAATTGACTCAGATCGACTCAACCGACTCAAATCGATTCCGATCGACTCAGACAGACTCAGAACAACTCAGACAGACTCAGGCAGACTCAAACCGACTCAACCGACTCAAACCGATTTAGACCGACTCAGACACACCCATCGGTTTGACCTGAATCATCAGACCTGAATCGGTTTGAGTCGGTCAAGTCAGTTTGAGTGTGACTGAGTAGGCTTCAGTCTGTCAGAGGCTGTCTGAGTCGTTCTGAGTTTGTCTGAGTCGATCGGAATCGATTTGAGTCGGTTGAGTCGGTCTGAGTCAGTTTGAGTCGTTCTGAGTCTATCTGAGTCGATCTGAATCGGTCTGAATCTGCCTGAGTCGGTTTGAGTCTGCCTAAGCCGGTTTCAGTCTGCCTGAGTCGTTCTGAGTCTGTCTGAGTCGATCGGAATCGATTTGAGTCGGTTGAGTGGGTCTGAGTCAGTTTGAGTCGTTCTGAGTCTGAGTCTGCCTGAGTCGGTTTGAGTCTGCCTGAGTCGGTTTGAGTCTGCCTGAGTCTGTCTGAGTCATTCTGAGTCTGTCTGAGTCGATCGGAACGATTTGAGTCGGTTGAGTCGTTCTGGGTCAGTTTGAGTCGTTCTGAGTCTATCTGAGTCGGTCTGAGTCGATCTGAATCGGTCTGAGTCTGCCTGAGTCTGTCTGAGTCGATCGGAATCGATTTGAGTCGATCGATTTGAGTCGGTTGAGTCGGTCTCAGTTAGTTTGAGTCAGTCTAAGTAGATCTTAATCGGTTTAAGTCGGTCGAGTCAGTTTGATTCTGCCTGAGTCGATTGGAGTCTGCCTGAGTCGTTCTTTACGTTATCTTCTCTTACCCAGTGACGTCAAGCATGCTTCAGCCTGGCACGGCGGCCTGATACAGGAAACCTTAGCCTTGAACGAAAAAGCTACCGGTGACGCCAGGGTTACCAATACCATGAGGATTAGGATTGCCATGCTTTGCACAAATAACAGCCAAATACAAAACAATGCACAATGCCTGAAAAATTAACCTAACTAGGTCAATAAAGTAAGACTAAGAGAAAATACTCTATAATATGTAGGACTAGGTGTGTATACTGTATAGTCTGTGCCATTTCAAGCTTGCAGCCAAAGTGGGTGCCCCGCAGAAAGCTCAAAGCAGTGCCAGTGCGTGATTTCTGTACATACAGCTTTCATTAAAATACACAAATTACTGAAAGGAGAAGCGAACTGCCAAAGCAGCTCTGACCGAAAGCTTCGCATGGAACAGACTATCCCCGCCTTCAATGTCTCTCAGTCAACGAAGATTCTACGTCGTCCGAGAGACATCGAACGCAACGCGGGGTATATGTAATTACCCTCCGCCGACACAGGCCAGAACTTGACACCTACAAAAGTTTGAGTTAAGTTAGAAACCAAAATTGAAACTGAAATCAAAATTAAGAGGGCTTCAGGAGCCCAAAGCAATTCATAACAATTTCTTCTGAACTCTGACCAGGCGAAAGGGAACGATCAATTCCTTTGATCGATATTCAGTGACTCAGATTCAGATGACTGGATCAAAAGCGAAAATCAAAATCAAAACAAAGGTCAAAGCCACAGTGTATATAAATGATGATGATGATGATGATGATGATGGTTTAGAGGATTTGCCTTTGCAACGGCTCCTCCTATTCTTTTAAACTGTACTTAAGCTATCGCGCTATGAGTTGGTATGGGGTGCATGATAGTATTGAGCTCTTTTTCTTTTTGCCTTCTATATCTTAACTTCCACATGCTGTATAGAATTTGTTTCTTATCTTCCATATGTTTCCTATTATCATCAAATAGAAATTTCATAATGACTTCTTCTTTATCTTCCCAGTATGGCTGTTGCAGTTCGGGACATTTCTCTCTAATCTCACTCGATATTGGACATTCCAACAAGAAGTGTTTTAGATCCTCATTTTGTTCATCACACAGAACACAGTTTGTTTTCTCTTTTGTAAACCTCTTCCTAGAGTTCAGAGGGAGAGTGTTCGTTCTTGCTTGAAAGAGGATTCTTGATTGTGGGGTGTTGTCATATACATCATCTTCTTTTACCTTCAGTTTCCATCTCTTGTATATCCTCAGACTTGTTTTGGTCTCTACTTCCTCTTTCCATCTTTTATCGTCCCACCTGATCATATTTTGGTTAAGTTCTTCTTTCTTCAAGTCTCTCAGGTCTTTTTGGCTTAGGTTTAGCGTTTCTAGGTGCGCGTTGATCATTTTTGCCCATTTCGTACTCTTCTCTTCTAATTGAGTTTCTATTACTTCCTTCAATAGTTGGTTATTTCCTTGAAGAGTGCTTCTAACATACTGTAGATGCCCTTTCATAACTCTTGTTTTCATCGTCGAAGCTCCAATTTCGCCCCGGAGGGCACAGTTGGCGGTATATCTCGGTGCACCGAGTATCTGTCGATATACTCCGTTTTCTATCATTTCCAGTTTCTTTACCTCTTCTTCCGTTATGTAGAATATGTTGGCACCATACAAAATGGATGGTAGAGCAAGGCTCTTCCAGAATGTTTTTCCTATCATGAGCTTGTTGCAACTTCTCGCGATCACCCCATAAGTCATGTTTGCCATCCTTTGAGCTTTTTCTATCATCTGCTGTTTCTGCTCCTTGAACATGTTTCGCTGATTTCCAATCCTTATACCCAGATACTTCAACTTGTCTGTTGTCGGTATTCCTTCTACTTCAGCTGGTTGTTCCTTGCAATTGAATACCAATACAGCACTTTTATCCTTGTTAATATCCAGACCACACTTCTTACTCACTTCGGTTAGAACTTTGATCAGCAGTTGTGTTTCATGAAGTGAATGTGCTAATATTAGTCCATCGTCTGCAAAGAACAGTATTGGAATGTAGAATTTCCTGTTTCTGAACCCAAGCGTTGTCTCCTGTATTTCTTTGGTGATTATATACGTAACAATCTTGAACAATGCTGTAGAACCGGTACATCCTTGTCGAATTCCACTTGTCACGTCCATTTCCTCTGTTGTGCTCTCATTCAAGTTGATCAGTGTAGAGTCTCCTTGGTATATATCTGCTACGGCATCTATAACTTTTGGATGGATCTTATATGCCATCAAAGCTCTTATCATTTCACTTCTTTTCACGGAATCAAATGCTTTTCTATAATCGATTGATGTAACATACAGTGGGGTCTTCCTTTTATAGCTGTCTTCTATACAGTGGCGGCAAATGCGCTTGGTCACGTGACCAAATCTGCACGTGCGGTTGTGGCGAGGGCACTTCCCGAAACTCTGGTGCCAACGGCCTCGCGGCGCCCATAGAGAATACATGGGACCTTTTCTTTTCAGACCTATCGTGTCTAAACCAAGCCATTTAGTGCAAGGATACGACTGGTTTGAGATCCAGTAGTCTTTTGGCTATAAGTCGGCATAAGAAACATATTTTTATCGGCAAAATTCGCAAAGTACCAGGTGGTTTTCCGATACCCTGCACGCCTCCTAACCCCCGGCGGCCGACCGGAGAGTCAGTAGCGCTCCACTCACGACTTTTGGCGATAGCTCAAAACAACTTACAGCTAGAGGGCTGCTATTTGGCACACCTTATCTTGGCTTCCATACGCATCTTTGGAAACCAATTGCATTTCCGTTTCAGGTCAGATCACTGACTTATGACGTCACACGTGAACCTCTGCAATAGTCCCAAAATACCGAAACTTCGCAATGCCCTCGGTGCCAGAGGAGCTGTCACAGCGAGCTGATACTTACAGGACCTAGTATCCTCTAGGAGTCTCAAAACTTGTATATCTCGGATTTCTCCTAGAGGTCACATGAGGTCAGGCCGATCGCGTGAGGTCACCATTACAAGTCAATGGGGGAAAATATGGAAACTAATTTTGACGCCGAGAATGATCTAAACCTAGCTCAAGCACATGGAATCGCAATTTCATGCAATTCTTGCAATGTCCAATGCTTCACTTTTGCATCTTTAACCTAGCGTGACGTCATTCATGACGTCACAAAGGTCACAAGTTTTTTCGTCAATAACTCCTGATAAAATTGAACTGGCAAGTCGGAAAAGTCGCCAATAGACTCGGGAAGACCTACCGAATCGAATGATATACGATATAAGTTATAACCTCCTCCGACCAAGTTCGTGACCTGAGTGCCTCTGACCTGGCTTTGACCCGATGTGAACACCTTATGTTGACCCCACTCAAACAAAAGTGTACCATTTTGACGCACCGGAGCATGACAAACATGATGGTACTAAAATCGCGACTCTGCGCCGTTTTTTTGGCAATGTTATTTCTCAAAACCCGAAATCGTATTTTGGCCCTCGGGGCACTTGACCTGACCCTCAGAGGCCACCAGTTGACCTGAGACTTTTTAACCGTGCATCAATCGCTGCGTCCCCGGTCCCGTAACGGCACACATGCTTGTTTTTCCCGCGAGGCTACTACTCAATTAGGGCGAGGGAGTCGTACCCGCCCACTCTCGCGGCTGGGGCGCCGGTATGTAAAAAAAAAAAACTAAGAAGTCTGGTGATGATTGATGCAAGATTCTTAAAGATAATGGTAGATGAAGGTAGGGCATCAGTTATTAAAGATAAGTGAAACAAATTTGCAGCCCTCAGTAGCATTGATTTATGCATTAAGAGTTATAGAACCATAGGCGGCGAACGGGGAGGGCACCGGGGCACCGTGCCCCCTATAACCCGCGAGTTGCTGGGGGGGGGGGCGTTAAACGCCCCAACTTTTTTCGCCGGGCCATAGCATAAAAACTTTTTTTAAACTTTAAGTTTAAAAAAAGTTAAAGTTAAAAGTTAACTTTTTAAACTTTTAAAAACTTTAGGCCATAGCATAAAGCCAAATTTTAGGTACCTGTAGGGAATTGATTGAAGTTTATTGTGACAAAGTTTCAAAAAAATCGGTCGGAAAATTTTTGAGATATCGAGGTTTTAGTGACGTCATGATTTCTGAGTTCTCGACCAAAAACGGCATATGTTCAAAAAATAATATAAAATCACAGAATAGACATACAGACATGCCGTAAACGCCATTAGACTGCCAATACCATGAACAATCAAATGGCTATCTTCGATTGTTGATTATCGTTCCACATTTTCCAAAATCTTGAACTGAATCTTGGCAATTTCTCGTGACTACTTCACGACCATGATACATGCATTTCTTAAATTGAACTTTTTTAGCCAAACACGTACACATATGGTAAAATGAATGTCACCATCGTGTTCTACGCCCCAAATTACCTATAAAACATGTGTCACAGACTGCGAATATCAGTTTTGATTTTCGGGGATATGTGCCTGCCCGGTTGACCTGACTTTGACCCTGACCTATGCTTGACTGACCCCTATATGGAGCTGACACTCTTGTAGGCCTTATATGATGGATTGTGCACCGTTTTGACAGAGTTTATGACGAGAGGCGCCCATTGCGCAGGCCTGAAGTCCATGCTACTGAAAGCCCGATTTCAGGTGTTTGACCTGACCTTGACCTGACCTGTGACCTCAAAATTCGACTTTAAAGTACTCATCTGAAGCGTCTCGTCGCGTTCTTTCGTTTGCCGCCTCGTGCGTTTCGCTGCGCCTATTGGTTCTCGAGTTATCGGCTGGGGGCGTTTAACGCCCCCCCCCCCCAGCAAACGGTGGGTGGCGAAATACCCCAGCAACTGCCGGGATAATTTTGGCGTTTTAACATTAGCCCTGTGAGCGTTGCATGGAAAGAATCGGACCGAAAGTCGGCAGTGCCCCCCCCCCCTTAACTGAAGGTGTTCCGCCGCTACTGTATAGAACAACTGCAAGCTGCAGGCTCAGCTCTTCAGTTTCTACCTATGCCTGCAAACACAATAAAATCATTGGAAGAGTAATAATAGATTAATTGCATTTTATTGATGATATTCAAGTATCAATGGTAATTATGTCACCGATGATTCAATATTATTTGCACGGTATCATTTACCACCATACGTCTAAATATTTAGTATCTAAAATATTGCAGTAAAATAAGCTGCGCCACGTCTGTCGACAAAATCTGGTGCCAACTCAAGGTCACACGGAAAATGTGGTCACGTGACCAATGTCCGGCAGCTGGTCAAAGCACACACTGTGGATCAGATTCTCCAAGGTCTTACAATTTCATGTTATTACAGTAGTTACATCAGGGGGCGTCGAAGTCTAGTAGGAAAATCTGGCAATCCCCGGCGTGACGTAACGTCGGGGATGACCGACGGCACCTTGCACTGAAAGATACGGCAGAACGGCTATTTTTGAAAAATGATTAAAAATACTTTTGTGCTGTTATGACACATAAAATGCTTATCAGCATGTTCCTCATCATGTGATAAAGCTATATCCGTGGTCGAAAATAGCTGAGCCCCTCCCAATTTCCAACCACCGACCTCATAAGCAAAGGATGTAAGCGTAGTCCTTAAGGGCGACTTTCCTATACATCTCCGTACATATGCGTCCTTATGGAAATCGGTAGTGTGGCGATTGGCGACGCGCGCGACATCTGTGTGGCGACCAAGTGGCGACTGTGGCGACACCTGGTGGCTGCTTTTCTGCTGTATGTAGGTATTGGGGTTTTGCCAGATATGGTTCCTACTGCTACACCACTATGTTGACCCAATACTAGAAAGTTATTTTGCCAGTAAAAGGCAAGCGAATTGAAAGTCAATTTATAAAATTGCTTATAAATGATAACGAGAAAATAATTAAGAAGTTTAGATTGAATAGTTATTTAAATACCCAACCGTGAAACTTTATTCTGGTAGGTTTAGTAGAAATTAGTCCGTGCAACCTTGTATTTAGGGCCTTGAGTTACATGAGATGAGAAAGAAAAAACAAATGACGTCAATGCATTCTTTTCTCGACCTTTTTGCGGAAGTTACCGATTTAACTGTAGTAGCGAATGCTTTTATTTTGCCCAAATATCGACTTTATTTTACTTCAAATGTGTAAAATATGGGAAATACTCCTACACTACGAGGAAAATTTAATATAAAGATGGCAGTGAATTAGAAGAAAGACAAATTATTTAACAGTGGTTTAACTCTAAAAATTTACTTTTACATCTATAGCGCACCTGCGACAATACTTCACGTTGGATCCGTTGGATCCACTGAACGTTGGATCCTTTGGATCAAGGCCCTAAATAATAGACTCAAATTGGATCACTTGAACTCAACTTGGATAGGATCAATATAAGATATCAATATACGGCCTTGTTGGATAGGGATTGAGGCATCAAGCATGTTGTGGGCCTGAAACTGCGAGAACTCTGGTGCGGATCACAGACTTGGATCAAGGCAAGACGACTTTCCAGTGTTGGTTGTATTTACTCTTAACCCTCGCCGGCACAGGCCATTTTGCGTCCTTCGACGGCACAAGGGGGGTTGGTACGACCCCCCGCGTTTGGCCCCTGATCGAGGTAGAGCTTCGCGGGAAAACGAGCATGTTGCCCGTCACGAGAGGAAGCCGATGATACCCAATTTTAAGGTCCTAGGTGATCGGGTGACCTTCCAGGTCAGGTCAATGACCCAAAAACCGGGAAAATCGGGACCTGTTAGAACGTCGTAAAGTGTGGCTGCTATGTGGTTTTCCGGGGTGCTGATCACGAATATCGTGTTAGTTTTGATCAGAGATGATGTCTTTAAGCATTTAGACCAGGTCGGGTCAAGTCAGGTCAGGTCAACAGGTAGGGGATATGACGGGTATTCATTATACGTGTCAACCGCCTCTGACAGCTTCGTTACATATGTTACAAAGGCACCAAAACTACTTCGTAAATGTTCAAATGGTTGCTAAATTCGAATTCAGCTCCTAAAACTAGTCTAGAAACATGAAAAACTCGAAAAAGTGAGCCGAGGTCACCCGAGGTCATCAAAGGTCAATGACCTGACCTGACCTTCAGGTGACCTTGACACCCACCCTAATGTTTGGGAGCAACATCAAATCACATGTTTGAACGTTTGAAACCACGAAAAGCTTGCAAACGCGCGGCTAATGCGAGCCGACATACGCCGAATCGCGATTCCGGCCAAACATGGTCTCGGAAAAGAGGTCACAGATCAAAGGTCACTTGGGTCAGCGTCATGAAATTTTCAGGGTAGGTGTAAAATTGATCAATGCGAGGGTACTGAAAGTTTCGTCGCGATCGGCCGCTTTTTACGCGAGCTATTCACGAAAATTCTTAAGGGGGGTTGCATCAACCCCCCCCCCTGTGCCGGCGAGGGTTAATAATTACCGTGGATCCGGTCAGGTCAGTTGATCAAATAGACCTAATTGGGAGAGGCTGTATAATGTATATGACGGACAGCTTCATAGTTGGGATCCCCTTTGGTGAGGGTTCAGTTGCTCCGGTGCTAGATTACGAGCTCCTTAGTTCATGACATGGATGTTCTGTGGTTGTTGGTAGCAACCACAGCCAGTTGAACTTTGCAGTCAGTTGAGAGTTCTTGGTACGTCACTGTATCCTAGCCAGCAATTTGGTTTGGCTCAAGTCCGTTTTGCCCCAGCAACTCTGACCGACATGCCAGATTTGGGCTGGTGTAAACAGAATGCCATCGGAACAGGGAGTTTGGGTCGATATGACTATTCCAATTAGCCAGTCCTTACTGTAGCTCTCCGGAGTCCGGAGTTGATGTGGTTTTGGATCGCCAAGTCTGGCTCCCTGCCATGGCGTGCTACGGCCAGGTCCGGGTGGTGTTTCACCGGTGATGGCAGCACGCTGCTGTTCCATTTCGTGAGCTGACGTCACACTTCTGGTAGTGTTGGAGGAATAGGCTTCTTGACGTCTCCATGGAAACCCAATTTGACACATGTTATAGCAGCGTGCTGCTATCACCGGTGAAACGGCCCTGGCTGCCTCGTAGTTGATCTGGCTTACTGTGTCTGACATACGGTTGACTGCTGACAACATCGGTGATCCTTGTTCTGTTTGTCTTTCAGATTTCCAAACTCTTCTTAGCATACTTCGTCAAAGATGTGGAAACCATCAAAGCCGATGTCACTGGCCGATTTTGCATCCGGCGCTGACAGTTTCGGTGGAATGACCTTTTTTGAAGAGCTACCAGGCAGCGTGATTTCAGCAGTAAGTAATGCAGTTGTGAACGTTTGCTGCATTTTTTTTCTCGGATCAATAAATGAATGACGGGCGTCTTCCAACACATCGATATATATGCGTGAGGTTACTGTTTCATTTTCGAAATTCGATTGGTGTTGATAAACTATCGGTGAATTTTATTTTTCCTTTATAAGCTGACAAGTGACATGCTGATCATTGATATCCTTAGGATCATGGGAAACCTGACAAAGTTGCGAAGAAATCAGGAAAGAAGAAAGGGAAGAAGCTGGTGAAGCCTTCTAACGATGACGATTCGGAGGAAACAGCAGATCGTACAGAAGTCACCGAAATCAACACCGCTGATATACCCAAAAAGAAACGCAAGAAAAAACGAAAGGAAAACACGGAAGCTGCAGCCACTAGTTCCGAACCACCGGCCAAGAAACAGCGGAAGAACGGCGCCCCTGCCGATGCTACACCATCTGCTGATCCATCAGCAGTGGACCTGGCCGCCGTGATCGAGGCGTCGGGAACGGACGTATCCAACTGGGACGTGCTGCACGTGCCGCAGCCTCTACTGGCCGGCCTGGCCGAGCTGGGCTACGAGCAGCCCACCGAGATACAGGTGAGGCGTGGTGCACGGCAGGGGTTAGAGAAAATCGGCTGGGGTGCTAGTGGTTGATTAATGATTATGTTATACTGGAGAAGGATAACGTACGGTAATAATAAAGCGATCAGCGATAATGATGTGGTCGGCTTTGCAGCTGAAGATGCAAATCTTAAACGGCCGTGATGAATAGTTGCCGTCGGCAATGTTTCCACCCATCCGCGATTTAAAACAGTTAAGCTAAATAGTCTGTTTCCTGAACCGCTGTCTGTTCCACTAACGTTCTGCTGTCCGGTTTCAGAGGCGCTGTCTGCCGGCCGCCATCCGCGGCAGGATGGACGTGGTTGGCGCCGCTGAGACCGGCTCCGGAAAGACGCTGGCCTTCGCGCTGCCCGTGCTGTACGGCGTCATGAAGGAGATGCAGCGCAGCGCCGCCGGTGCCGGTGAGAGCACGGGCTCCATGACAAACCGTGGAGTGCCTTTTTCAGATCAATGTTCAGAATGTGTATGGTGGATGATACGCGAACCACATTCCCATCAGATTCTCGAAGGAGATATATGATAGTTTTCAATAATTTATTTCAGTTAGTTTTTTTTAGTCTGGGCGTTGTTCAATGCATTATCAGTTGCACCACGCCGATTTATTTTTTTTCCTTTCTTTTTGTAAATTAAAGGGACTATCCCACCTTTAACATGGGGTTTGAGTTGAGATAGCCAAGTTTGCGGCGAGGTTCAGAAACCACTATCTATCTAGGTTGCAACCCCCGCGGCCTCTTGGTGTTGAAGAAATTCGTTCCCTTCATTTGAAAATGGGCCTTGCACAAGGCCCCATCTTCAACATGGAGCGACCGTTAGTGTGACGTCACCTCGTTTAGTCAATCTGATTTAAATGGGTTTGTTCGTTGAAAAATCGCTTAAAACTTGGTCTGAACTTTGTTGTGGTGCCTACAGAGTAAAAAGAATCAGCTTTATGACAGTAATGTGGCCTGGGGAAGGAGGTAATTTTGGGCTGTGACGTCACATATTTGAATGTTTGTGTTTGGAATATGGGAAGCCTAAGATGTTTAATGAAAAATAAATGCCAGAACCGTGTTCCTGGTCATCCAATCTATAAAGTCGGGCACAATTTAACTGGTTTTAACAACATTTTAGAAGGTGGGATAGTCCCTTTAACAAGCTGTTAATTAATAACGCTATCTTAATTTATCTTGACAGCAATTACCGAACTAGAAATCAATTGGGTGCACGTTAATGTGGTGCACAGTGGACACTATATCTTGCTACAAGCGAACATCACATTTACCTCTTTTTTTTCGCAGCCGCCAATCGGTCAGCTGTCGACTCCGATGACGACTCCGACTGGCCGACTGACGACGGTTCTGCGGAGTCGACTCCGGGCGGACCCCGGGCGCTCATCCTCGCCCCCACCCGGGAGCTCGCCATTCAAGTCAAAGACCACATCGTTGCAGTCGCGAAATACACCGGAGTCAAAGTAAGTCGCAATTTAGTCCAGGCAGGGGTCTGTCTGTCCGTGTGGAATGGAGGAGTTGTAGATGATGATTATTACCGACATTATATTGTCGGTACATACCTGAATATAATATCACGTCTTATCAGTGACTTATAAGTGTCAGGTCCTGATATCGAGATGGTGCACGTTCCCATACATTACCAGTCACTGGTGGAGGATCGTATGGCTGCCGCAATGTCAGATCAGAAAGCGTCTGCCGCGACAAATGCGCTACGATACTACGTGGGACGGTAGTTCCTTCCCTTCTGTCCGCGTTCTGACGCTGTTTTCGCAGGGCTGCTCTGCTCCGTGTTATGACGGTAGTTTGATCCGACCGGTCGGGTTAAAAGGTCGCGGATCAAAATTGGATCAAAAGGTGGAACGGAGCGTCTCGCAACCTCCCGTTCCATGCTGTAATGGTAGCTCCAAGTTTCAACCCTCCTTTCCCGGTTTTGACGTTCATTCCTTCCCTCCGTTCCGGAGATTTTGACATCAGTTCCTTCCCTCCGTTCCAGGGGTTCTGACATTGGTTCCCTCCCTCGTTTCCAGGTTCTGACGTTGGTCCCTCCCCTCGTTTCCAGGTGGTGACGGTGGTGGGCGGCATGTCGGAGCAGAAGCAGCAGCGACTGCTCAGCCGCCGGCCAGAGGTGGTCGTCGCCACGCCCGGCCGGCTCTGGGAGTTTATCGAGGCCGGCGACCGGTTCCTCTCCGACCTCAGCCGGCTCGCCTTCCTGGTGGTGGACGAGACGGACCGGATGCTGGAGAAGGGCCACTTCCAGCAGCTGCACCTGCTCCTGGAGCGGGTCAACGCCGACCCGGAGCGGGCGGCGCGCCGGCAGAACTTTGTCTTCTCGGCCACTCTGACCCTGGAGCAGGAGAGGGCCAAGGGGCGCGACCTCAAACAGCTCGGCGAGCTCACCACCGGACAGAAACTCAAACACATCACCGCCATGATCGGCATCAGGGACAAAAATAAAAAGGTACGAGTCGATCATGTTTTTGTTATTTGTAATGCATGTTTCCGTCATTGCTCGTGTCAGTCGTTGGTGCTGTTTCGTTCAGTGGTGGCCCCAAAGCCGGTCTATATCGGTAATAGGTTTCGTAGCGCAACCATCTAGTCCCTTGCCCTAAGTTGCTAGCCGTGGATAGACGTCCCGGACCGAAACACTTCAATCCGGAAACATCAGCCGTGTCTCGAGATGCCAGTCCATCGCTGAACTAAACATTTCGGACATGTGCTGGCTATCACCTCATATGAAGCGAGTGGACACCTCCCCAATTGTACACATCCCCGATGCTGTGATGGACGTCACTACTCCCCCTCTGACGTCCCCAGGTCGTGGACATCACGCGCTCAGTGGGCACGGCCACCACTCTGACCGAGATGGCCGTCTCGTGCTCCATCCCCGAGAAAGACGAGCTGCTCTACTACTTCGCGCTCCAGCACCCGGGCCGGACACTCGTCTTCTGCAACAGGTACGTAAGTGAGGCACTTCGTGGTACCGTCCGATGCGATAGCTCTTGGCACTGCTCGATGTGCCTATCTAGTTTTTTTTTTCATTCCAGGGTATATTGAGGACGATGTTAATTTTGTTGTCCGACTAGTCCGGTCATTTCACTGTCCGGCTAACCGGTGATTTCACTGTATGGATGATCGTACCTCTGTATAATCTCACTCTGTATAATCTCTCCCTCCTTGCCCCTTGATCTCAGCATCGACTGCGTGACGCGTCTGGGCCGCCTGCTCAGCCTGCTTGAGATGCAGCCGCTGCTGCTGCACGCCAACATGCAGCAGCGCGCCCGGCTCAAGAGTCTGCAGCGGTTCCAGGCGCGACGCTGCGCCGTGCTCGTGTCCACAGACGTGGCGGCGCGCGGTCTGGACGTGCCAGGCGTGGAGCACGTGATCCACTACCAGGTGCCCCGCACTACTGATGTGAGTGCTGCTGTGGACAGGAGCAGGCGCGTGACGGTAGATTCACGTTAAAATGCAGCGGCTGCGGGATGTTAATTTGGGTTTTAGGCCGTGCCGATTACCATGTAAGTTGTAACACAGTCACTATTATTCGGTCAGACGCTTCTTTGAAGCAGTGTTCTAAAATTGGATATTGGTTGGGTGTGCCGATGAAGAAAAAAAAAATCCTAGGATGAGAAAAAGGAAAGTAAATAACTGAAGTATTTTTGCAAAATGGTGTAATGCCAATTTTTATGCCAACTGATAAACCAGGATTTCATGTCAGGATCTTGACAGGGTGCGGAACAAAAGGATGTGGGTGCATCAACTGTCAAGTGACATGTGAACTGGCTGTTGGGAATACATGAAACTGTTTTCAGAGATGAAGTTAAGTCGGTCATTCATATTTTAGGGATGAAAATATTTTCCCCATTAGGTGTGATTTGCCACCAAGAAGTCTGAAAAATGTAACACTGCTTTGAAGGTTATGTGTAATTATGAGGCCTGTTTGTGTTCTGACATCTGAGTTCAATGAGTGATGAATCTAGAGCTTACCTCCTCAGTATTTCTTTTTACGAATTTTGTTTCGTTATCTAATTGCTTTGCTGTGTGGATGGGGACCTGGGGAAGTCTGTTTCACGATGCTATATTACTAACTGTCGACAGGCGTACGTCCACCGCAGCGGTCGGACGGCGCGCGCTCTCTCCGAGGGACTCAGCGTCATGTTCGTGGAGCCCGGTGAAGTGGGCGCCTACAGGAAACTGCTCCGGCAACTGAACAGAGGTTAGTGCATCGATTAGATCGTCACCGTTTGTTTTCAAATTCGCCAAGGTACAGAACAGTTTGTGTTGCCATGTCTAGCAATAAGCAAGGACACCATTTGCGTTCAAATTCGCCTAATTACAAAACAGTTTGTGGTTGCCAAGTCTAGCAACAAGCAAGGACGTGAGTGTTGTCGGATATTCCCGATAAACAAATTCTGTATGCGGTGGATAATGTTCAACCCGTCAGTCAAACTGCTCCTTGTACACCGTATGCTCCGATCATCACCCATGACAAAAGACGTGTTTACATAGGGTTTTTTGCAAGCTTATATCCCCGTCCGGATGTTGCAAAAGATGCCAATGGTGCTCAACAATTTACAAAATGATCCCCTCTAAATATCTCATATCTGAAGACCTTTGCTTCGAAATTATCGCCAAATAAACGAGCTAGAGCCTCGTCAAAAATGCTATGTAAACCCGACTAATGTGCATAATGTTGTCAAGTGATTACTTGACGTATCGGTCACCCCACTGTCGCCGGCAGAGTCTGATCTGCCGCCGTTCAGCGTGGACCAGGACGTGCTCCGGCCCCTGGCGCGGCACGTGGCACTGGCCCGCTCCATCAACCTGGCAGAGTTCCGACAGCGCCGCGCCGCCGGCAGCCGCAGCTGGGCTGAGAGGGCCGCAGAGCAGATGGACATCGAGCTGGACGACGCCATGCGGTCAGTTGTGGTGGACAGGGCCGCTGGGGTATAGCCGAGCGGAGTATCAGTTTATTTTCTCGTTTGTGTACTAGCTACACTTTTGTAAGTTGCCGCCTGTCTAGTGGGACACTTCCTTTAATGTGACCTGCCTTGTTATCTGTCTTTTAGCGGGCTAGCACGGTCGTCTGTAATGTATTCAGTTAACACTTCGCTGGTGTTATGATCTGTATTCCGTGGTTCTGAATTGATCACAACGGTCGTTATACACGGCCCAACCTTCCACCCTGACCCGAGCGGCTCCGCCTTTGAGCTGTGCCCCGACCGTGCTATGACCTGTGACCCGACCTGACCCGTCAGGCCGGAGCGGGACGAGGACGCCGAGCGTAGGACGCAGCTGGAGATCCGCTCCGGCCGCGCCCAGCTGAAGGACATGCTGAAGAAGCGGGCCCAGGTGTGGCAGCCGTTCACCAGACACGGCCGTCTGCAGGTGCCCGCCAGAAACGGTGAGTGACGCGCCGCTCGACTCGGTAACGAAGTTGTGACTGATGAGTTACTTAGAGGACGTTCTGTTTGTGCAAATGAAGTGGTAATTAATGCCGCTAAAGTGGACTTTCTCGCTGGAACGATAATTGGAATGTTGATCTATATAATTGCAATATACTTTTTGAAGCCATATAGTGTGAAAAAATATATTTCAACGGCATCTTGCAACGTAGTAAGTGTTCGTGTTGCCAGCCATCTCTCAAATCTGGAAAATGCCCGGTGATGAGTGGTATCCGTCATAGCCATCAACTATCTATCCCCAATACCGGTTACTGGTAGTGTATTGCACAAAGCACACGATATTCTTCAATGAACTAATGTCTTCTGCCGGGCAGTGTCTGCTTTGGACGTGGCCAAGGCCAGCGTGCGTAAGAAGAAAAAGGGAGCCGCCGCTCAGCCGTCAGAGGAGACCACGGAACAGGAGACTCGAGAGCAGCCGCAGCCCGAGGAGGCGCTGGCAGAGCCCGCTGACGACGGTGAGCCCCAGAGTCCGCCTCCGTCCCAGAAGGCGACGGTAGCGCCGCAGTCAGGCGATGGTGTGACCGAAAACTCGTCACAGTCCCCGGGTAAACCAAGGAAAAAGTCCAAGTCCTTAGCGGCATCGACTACGGTCGCAAAGAAAGCGACTCCGCCATCCAGCGCAAAAAGGAGGAGAAAGAAGAAATGGTTCGCTAGGAAGGGGAAATAGGTCTGGGTTGGGGAAATGGACCATTTGTTATCGTGTGCTGGCTGGGGGCGTTTCGACGACAAAATACAATGATGCGAACACAGTCTATGTGTATTTCAGTTCACCCTGATGAAAAATATCCTCCAGCTCCACCGACACCGGTTCGAATCCCGACTGGGGACCGCTGAGCCCTCTACTCTCAGTAACCACACGGCGAGACACCTCCGGTCGCGGGTGCACCCGGACCCCTACAGACTGTCTGGGGTGCGGCCGGACCCCTACCGACGGTCATTCACAGCCTGGGCACCCGACACCGCCCACTGACACGTTCAGCGCCTCCGCCCGCATACAGAAGTCGAGTCGGACACGGCTGCCGAGCGGCAGCGGCGGTACAGGCGCCGGCACATACAGACATGATTGAGACAGGTTTTCTCACACGGGATAGCGGGGGCTGCACTGGGGACTGCACACGTGACATGTGCTCGTTCCCGGCCGAAAATACGCCTTCGCCATTACATAATGCAACCCTGGCGGAACATAATACAACACTCGCGCAAACACAATGTTGTCAACGAGTGAACATATGGTACTCAACATTTCGCGCCATCAGAATGTAATCGATCATAGCTACATACTAGCATCTAAAGCATTGATAAAATTTCAGTACATTGTGGCTACGAACTTTCTTGCACTGAAAAGGTGATTGAAAAGTAACGGACATCATTCAATCAGAAGCGATCGCTTCGAAATCAAATGGAAACTTTCCTGAAGCACTGGGCTTACGACGTCTGGCCGAATTCATAAGACACTATCTATTCAGGAATAAATATTACGAACACCCGTCTATATATACACAGAATGCTTCCCAATTAAAACTACTCTTGACGCGCATTGCATACGAAATACAGTCACAATAACGCAAGCGCGTACTCAGTAATTGAATAGAACGAGGACACAACTTTACAGCGGTTCCACTACAAATAATACATTGTAATTACATATCTTTACGTGTATTAAAACTGTTAAAGCAGGTTTACCGTGTGCGGAAAATAAGACTCACGCAATAATTACAACCATTTAGCTACTCGCCAATAAATGTCGACGCGTCAGTAAGATACAATATCGTGACGCTGAAGATCGTAACATTATCGCATCGTTTCGGGCCCCTCTCATTTCAGCCGTCCCGTCATTCGAGTAGCTCACCCCGCAATACCACATTCGGGGTCACCAAAATCATCAGAGGTCTCTACCAAATCACATACGGCGTATGGATGCAGGGCAGTACTCGTATGTATGGCTGCGGGCCGCTCTAATCACCAGATCGGCGAAGTTCCTCATACAAGGCCGTGACTACCCGATACTCAAAATCAGTACACAATTTTGATCCCTTCTCCAAACGGTAATTTTGATCCCTTCTCCCAACGGTTAAGACTGCATTTTTTATATAGAAGCTCAGCCTCAAACGTTATAGGGAGATTCGATGCCCGTTTCAGCTTTCTTGACGCTCCAAATCTGAACTATTTGTCTGCTAGGTTCTTGTCAATTCATTGTCAAATCAGCCGGATAGCCTCCCCCAATCAGGTCTATCCGGTCAACTGTCCCCAGTGATAAATATAGGTGTCCAAGCCTGAACTGACCGATCCACGCGTCTCCAGCCGGGCGGTTCGCGCCGGGCCCACCTCGCCTGGTCTCAGGCGGGGCGCAGCAGGGCCATGGTGAGGAGACCCAGGCCGTAGGCGAAGGCCAGTTTAACCTGTGTGCTGAGGTGGAGCTGCGGCGGCACCAGCGACTGGGTCGTCTCGCCGGCGGTGGGTAGCAGCAGGGCGGCGATACAGACCAGCGCGGCACCCACCACCAGACAGTGGTGCTGGCTCACCTCCGACGTGTTGTAGGCGCCTGCCGAGACACGGAACACGTCAGTGAGGGCAGTAATTACGTCCGACGGTCATCGCATTATCTCAGATCATACCGCCGTCTCGCTGTGTGGTTACTGAGAGAAGAGGGCTGCGGTCCCCGGTCGGGATCTGGTTACCGGTGTCGGTAGAGCTGGAGAATATTATCTCAGTATCATACCGACCGCCCGAATCACGGGACAAATTAACAATGGCTTTTGAAATCGCACCACCACAAAAAAGAGCACGGAAACAAACAGCAGATCTACAACAAAGCGCCATGCGAAAGCAGAGACCTTTCACTGGCCAGACGCCCGATAAAACCGCCTCGGGTCCGTAACGCCTGCCTCTTGCTTACTCTCTATTATCGTCCTCAATCCCTCCTATTCCTATACGCCCACCTCCGTGCCACAGCGGCGGCGGTCCCACCTTTCATCTCTCTGGCGGCTCGCGCAACGTCGGCGGCCGCCTGCTGTCCGCCGGTGGTTAGTCTGGCCTCCTGCAGTGCCGAGTGGAAGCCCTCCCGCTCCTGTTCGTGCTCGAGCTCGTCCTGGTCGTCAGCTGGCGGCCGGCCCGGCAGCAGGGTGGACGGGATGTAGGTGCGGCCGATCAACTGCCGACATTTGACGGGGTGTTACAGGGGCTCACAGCGTCACGGAGACGGACGTCATAGCATGACAGAGAGGGTCACAGCATCTTAGACCGGCGATAGAAACTCACAGAGAAAATCGCAACCATGCTGAAAGGAGCGGCATCAGTACGGGCCGGTCACAGACACCTGATCTGAAAATTTAATAACAGCAATCATAGATGACCGGTGGAAAACGAGGATGATCGTTAACCATCACAGAATACTGCTTAGTGATCAATGTATCAATATTTTTGCCAGGTAAATCGTGCTGTACGAATAATCACAGAGCATAAACGCATAACTATTTGAGAGGTGATAAAAAAAAATCTCAGAAGAACGCTCACTCGTTTGACTATCTTGATGTATTGACTAATATGAAATAATTAATAAGCTAGAGGTAACTCACTTCTTTCTGGCCGACCTCGACAATGTCCACCCGAAATTTGTCGCTGACGTTGACGTTTTGCAAGCTGGGACTGACGTGACGCACTACGATGTCGATGCAGCACCTGGCCTTGATGGAACCGATTGGGTCCATCACCTTGTATTTGGATGGCTGGTTGGCATACACTAAAAGAGAAAGTGGACAGAAAAAGAGGGCACTCAGGTTTCCTGTTACAGGGCCATTTCCAGACAAAATGTTAGGGTAATGCCAATATAGTAAGTAATGCAGCCAGGCCCAGGCACTCACTGTTCAGTCACCATTTCTCGTCAGCAGGCTGGCATTTATATGCTTCTCTTAGTCAAATTCACATTTATCATTTGGCTATATTAGCCAAATTCAATGGACTATACAGTTCACCAATGAGGGGCCAAGAAATTCCAACAATGAACTTCCATAAAAGGGAAAACCAGCAGCATGCTAATAAAAACCTGACATCAAACAGCACTCAGGATGCAGTGGCTTTCCATTTTACCATGCTTTATATAGAATTATGCTGGATTTAAACAACCACACTTACTAAAAAGGTGCTGGTGAGTAGTGTTTTGTGAACCATGGCAAAAGTACCTAATATTGTGCTGAAAATTGACCTTGGGCGATCATGATCTGTAGTGATTTATGATAAGGTTATGTTGAAATAAGAAGAAAATATCATTGTCACTTTCAACACAATAATAATACTAATGATGCTCACACATGCCAGTGCTTACATGTAATAACGACGAAACGCGTCCACCCATGTGCTGTATGTTTTTCCTACTCAAAAAGTACTTATGACTTGTCATCCTACAAAGTTACAAACTAAATTACTTGATTTACTATTTCAGTAAACATGTAGGAAGTCTGAAGGTACCTGCCAAACCGTAACATTTGCTATCAAATGAAAGCAATCCAAAGTCATTTACCTTTGAAAGTGATCCCTATGTCATACGGGTTGTAAAGAGTGATCACTTGCTTGAGACTTGCTGGATCATCCATGTAAAAATTTAATGCTGATGGAAACACAAATACTGGGTATTTCAGGCTCCCTTTTCCTGATGTCTTCCTGGAGGCCATTGTCTGTTGTGTATCTGTGAATGAACATGACAATCAATTGGTCAATACTTATTCGAATTCAACTCCAATTGGCATGTCAGCATATTAAACCTAGATGAGATGTTACGAAGACAAGTAAGGGTCATCATTTAGTGACATTTCAATTTGTGCCATAAAATTGTCGGTCGGAGAGGCCATCGTAACCCATCATTTTCATATTGTCAGAGAACGATAAAATGGACATGATAAAATGGATGAATGAATAGATATTGATATGTTTAAACTGCAGCTGGCATCATGTACATATGCACCAAATGTAGACTTGATTTTAGTCTCACTGCCTGGCATGGGGGCTCTCACGCGAACAGTACTGAGACTCAGCTGGTTGAACTGGTCAAACATCTGTCCCAACAGTTACATGGAATGAGCTCTGTCGTGCAGCAGTTGAAGGCGGAGATTGGCCTGATACGTGCCGGGCCTCCACCGGATCCGTCCTGGCCTAGCCTGTCTGCCTCCAACCCACCAGTGCCTGACGCTGCTGCCACTCCCGGTGCTGCCCAACGTGAAGTCCCCAGACCACCAGCTAACCCTGATGTCCCTCCCGCCTCAGCCTCATCTGAGTACAGGAAAATTGTTCGAGAGGAGCTGCGTGAGCTGCAGGAGCAGCAAAAGCGCAGGTCTTCCCTGGTCATTCGAGGCCTGGGGGCCCGCTCAGCTAATGCTGCTGTACAGGCTTTCGAACAGGTGACTGATTTCCTCATTCACCAGAAAGTTTCTCTGACTGATGTAGTCCGAATCCCCTCGGAAACTGACCTTTACAGAGGCAAAGTTTGTGATGATGATGTCCGGAAGCTCATACTCGACAGGGCCAAGCAGCTGAAAGACTCTGACCGTTTTGGCTCCGTCTTTATTCGCAGAGATCTAACTTACAAACAGAGATCGGAGCTCCGAGTTAAGCGTGCTGCTACTGAGACTGGCACTGCCTCCAGCCCTCACCATACTGCTGATTCTAGGCGCGAGAGCAGAGTACCAGAACCAGCTGTCAACACGAGTGTTCAACCAGCTCGTGTCGGGGACGGGAACCAGGACACCCAGGATGACAACCCCCAGGCCCCTGCTGCCCCGCCCTCTGATGACCACCCTAACAACTCCAACAACAATGATGCCCCTGACCCTGAGTCAAACGTGTAGCTTTGACTACCAGTTCCTACAGCCGCAGCACATTCGTCCTTAACATAAGTCAGTCTAATGTGAACTCGCTAGTCCGTAAAATGCCGGTGGTGCAAGATTTTATACTGTGTCACAGTGTCCATATCATGTGTATAACGGAATCTCATCTCCTCAGCTCTATGCCAGATTCATTTATCGACATTCCTGGCTTCAGAGTGGTCAGAAAAGATACTGAAGGCTCTTTTGCCAAGCACGGTGTTTGTATCTATGTTAAAAATTGCTTGAAGTTCGAACAAATTGAAACTGATTGTCCTAACACTGTTGCCATTGTATTGCCAGAATTCAGTGTACATATTGTTGCAGTCTACCGCCCCCCGTCGTCGGAGCCTGAAGCCAATCAGCATCTCTTGGATTTTCTCATTTCTTTTTGTGCAGACCGTGAAGTCGTGCTCATGGGGGACTTCAATCTCCCGTCCCTCGCGTGGGATTCCAGCAGCCCCTCATCTCGCGCGTCAGGCTGTGACACTGATTTCTATGACACCTTCATGTCGCTTGGATTAACTCAATGGATCTGCGTCCCCACTTACCCCCGCTCTGGAAGCACACTCGATCTTGTGCTTACAACTGAAACTGACAGGATGGGTACTTCTTCGGTACTTCCGCCCCTGCCGGGCTGCGATCACTGCCCGGTACTTTGTAACTATGTGTTTGACTATTCACCCCCAACGTCCCAATCTAGCACTCAGTTCAGGAAGTGGCACAGGGCGAAATTTGATCGCATCTCCCGCGAACTGAACGTTATTGACTGGAGCGCTGAATTTACAGGCTGCGATGTCAACCAGATGTACACCCGCTTCCTGGACAGACTGTCGCCTCTTATCGACGATTTTGTCCCTACAGGAACTTCCTCTGCTGACAACACCCGTCCCCCATGGAGGACAAACCCCCCTGGCAGCCTCAGACACCGGAGGAGGCACGCATGGGAGACGTACAAAAAGATGAGATTTACCCATGGCAGGCGATCTGCAGCGGCCATATCAGCACTCGATACTTTCTTCACCCTCAATCGCTCTCTGAAAAGGTTTGCCCTGGAGTCCCAGGCGTGCTACGAACAGAAACTGCTCCAGGAGTCTGCCTCTAACCCTAAGGCTCTGCATGCACATCTCAGGCGTAAAAAGGTAGGCTGCCCTGGCGTTGGTCCCTTACGACTTTGCAATGACACGCTTTCAGATGACCCTGCTACAATGGCTGAAGCCTTTGCTGAGGCCTTTGAGAGCGTCTTCGGCCGCGGTCCCCCCAACCCTAACCAGTCCCCTCACGAAACAGCGGACTCTGTTATGCCACCCGTTGACTTCTCTGTTGACGAGGTTCTTGCAGTGCTGCGATCACTGGACCCCCACTCAGCTGCTGGCCCAGACAACCTTCACCCATCGCTCTTACGAGCTTGTGCAAACAGCCTAGCATTTCCCTTGTTTGTTATTTTCAGACAGTCACTCAGAGAACGTCGCTTACCTGCTTCTTGGAAGATATCCGTCGTAATTCCTTTATTCAAGAAGGGCTCGAGATATAACCCCCTGAACTATCGTCCCATCAGCTTGACTTCGGTGTCTTGCAAATGTCTAGAGCGCCTGATCTGCCAGCAGCTTACAACCTACCTGGAAGAGAACTCTATGCTGACAAATAACCAATTCGGTTTCAGAGCCGGGAGATCCACTCAGGATCAGCTGATCCTTGTATATGACGAGGTGTCTTACTAAATGGCTTGATGATGGCTGTGTTACTGACCTCGTGATGTTTGACTTTGCCAAAGCATTTGATGTTGTCTCTCACTCTATCCTTCTTCGCAAGCTACGCATGATCGGCATTGCAGAGCCCCTCATCTACTGGATTGAAGATTTTCTGATTGGCCGATCTCTGTCTGTGTCAGTGAAAGGTGTACTGAGCAAAACTCGCCCCGTGTCCAGTGGGGTCCCACAGGGCTCGGTCCTTGGTCCGATTTTGTTTTTAGTTTTTATTAACCATATTGGTAGCAGTCTCGCATCTAGTCACAAGATTTTCGCTGACGATCTGAAGCTTTACATGAAAGTTGCCCACAGCTCAGCAGACGCATATGACCATGCCTCCTCGCTTTGTCAACAGGACATCACTGCCCTGCACCGTATTTCTTCGTCATGGGACCTTCGCCTGAACCGTGACAAATGTGTGGTCATACGTTTTCAGAGCAAGGCTCAATCTCAATCTCTTCCACCTCCAGTGTATAACATCGATAATTCCCCGATTCGAGTTGTCCCCTCCCATCCGGATCTCGGAGTACTGGTGGACTCGAGCCTCAAATTCCACGACCACATATCCGCTACTTACTGTCCACAAGGCCGCAGGTCTTTCTCAAAACCTCCTGAGGAGCACGGTGTGCCGATCTCCGGACTTTATGCTGACACTTTTCCGTACTCACATAAGACCAGTTATCGAGTACTGCTCGTGTGTGTGGCACACTGGGTACCTGGGGGACCTGCGCGCTCTGGAGTCGGTCCAGCGTCACTGGACCAAGCATATCGCTGGCCTGTCGAGTCTGGATTATCGGTCCCGGCTCTCATCGCTGAACTTGTATTCAATTCAAGGCAGACTGCTAAGGGCTGATATGATTCAGTACTGCAAGGTGTTCCATGACAAATGTGCGGTGTCCCCCGCTGACTTGTTCACTCTACCTCCTCAGTTAGGCATGCGCGGACATTGCTTTAAGATTTTCCATTCCCGCTCGCAGACTGATATCAGGCGTAGGTCATTCTCGGTGCGCGGTGTGAGACTATGGAACTCCCTCCCGGAGCACGTCGTAATGGAACCTAACTACAAAACCTTTAAGGGTTTGCTGGCGGAAGCCCTAGGCGACGCTCTGTATGACTTTCACTAACCGCCTTGTTTTGTTCTCCGTCTTGCGAAATGCACTGTACCATGGACACATTTAAAGTAGCATTGACTTTGTCTTTCTCCTGCATCAATTATGTACAACATAACTACTCTTGTTTGCATCTTGAACCATGCCTGTTTTCGCGCAAACATATGTGCAGGCGCTCCACTCCGGTAGTAGCAACTGCTGGTGCACCTTGTGTCTGCGGGTTCCTACTGTATCCCTGCCTACTCCTTCCTGTCTGCAGACGTGAGATTGTGAACCCCACCAGGTGAGTGAACCAGGTGAGCAGATTGACAGCCTTGAACAAAAATATTACAAACTTGAGTGAAAACTTATTTTGCAGAAATACAAAATACTGCCAAGCTGGCTAAGTCATAATTGAAATATGATACCCCGCTAGTGTCCCAGTGCCAGTGTATGAATGCGTACTTGAACTATGGAAAAAAAACTAGGGAGAAAGAGATTTTGATAACTAACCTCACCTACTTCAATTTCCACTTCCCGTCTTTGTGGCCAACTGGCCAACTACAACAGCTGGGTTTCTGTTTACATTCAGCCAAGGCTATATAAACCCATTCAGCTAACAGCGGCTACCTGTTCAATAGCAGCTACGACGGCTATCTAGGCTATCTACTGGCGAACATCAAAGCTGTCTTTTGATTTAATCCATTTAATCGAAAAAAAGCAAGCACAATTTTAGTGCAGGATGAGTGGTAGGGCTCTTTGCTTCTTCATAATTAAAAAGCAATCAGTGCAATGCGTTCTTTACGTTCAATATTTTGGTTCTAGTTATTGCTAGCGCTTGTTGCCATGGAAACTCAGCACGAGAAGAGACTGGCCCTTCTGCATTGAACAGGATATGGTATTTGTTGGTTTTGGGGCCTTGGTTTTGTCACTGGCAAGTCACTGGTTCGTGATGTAACGGAAGTTAGCCCACATTCAGCCCACATTCGGCCCAGCCCAGATTGGGGCTGCCAAATCTAGGGAAAAATCTAGAAATCTAGAGAAAAATCTAAAAACCGTTTTACGCCTAAACGGCTGGACGAAACTGAAAAATAAGACCACCATTTGAAAGATCTCTTCACCCCGGACCTAATGATATGGTTAAATACCGGATCAATTTAACCAAAAGCATGAATTAACCAGGATGAAAATTTTCGGTCAATGGGGCGGCCCCTACGATTTTCTTCAAAATCGGCATGGTGATACTACAGGCCCAGATGACCAATCTGGCTGAAGAAACCCCTATGGGCATTGAAATCTATGGGGTAAAAACGCCCTTGGAAAGTTTTACCCACGCATTTCTGGCAAGACTATCGCACGCATCCCCCCAATATGGGTATCATATGAAAGCCCATGAAAACCCAAACAAAATGGTGGGGTAAAATTTACCCACTACCCCATCCAGGGTAAAGTTTACCCAAGATGAAAATTTTCGGTCAATAGGGCGGCCCCTACGATTTTCTTCAAAATCGGCATGGTGATACTACAGGCCCAGATGACCAATCTGGCTGAAGAAACCCCTATGGGCATTGAAATCTATGGGGTAAAAACGCCCTTGGAAAGTTTTACCCACGCATTTCTGGCAAGACTATCGCACGCATCCCCCCAATATGGGTATCATATGAAAGCCCATGAAAACCCAAACAAAATGGTGGGGTCAAATCTACCCATTACCCCATCCAGGGTAAAGTTTACCCAAGATGACAATTTTCGGTCAATGGGGCGGCCCCTACGATTTTCTTCAAAATCGGCATGGTTATACTATAGGCCGAGATGATCAATCTGGCTGAAGAAACCCCTATGGGCATTGAAATCTATGGGGTAAAAACGCCCTTGGAAAGTT